GTATCGATTGTTGGTCGGTGGTAATCGGTAATAGAGTAATAGAGTTTTTAAACAACTCTTGAAATTTGAATTAAATTTCCTAAAAATCGGACGACTATATCATATAGCTGTCATATGAACAATAGATGTTGTTAAACCTTTAGACATAATGCTCGACGTTTGTGATGACTGCAAGGGTATATAAGCTTCCTTTCCTTTTTATATAAAATATTATACGTTTGGGTTGTATCGAACCAATTATGAAACGGAAATCTTTGCGATTAAATTTCTCCGGTTTCTAAGCGTCTGACGAACTTGTAACTTCGCATACGTTTTAAGGACCGATAAAGAAATTTTCATTATCCTTGTTGGAACCGCCAGGATTCATAAATTCTTTCACTGATATCCCGTAAATGGGTAAAAGATACAGAGTTAATGCGTAATAGTAGGGCTTATATTAAATTACGAGACGAAACATTTCAGTACCACATGACCCCAAAGAATTAATTAATAAATTGTACTTAGAATAAAAAAAATAATAGCTTAACGAACTAAAAACTTAGAGAATAATTTTTAACAAGCTAGAGTTTATATCACAGTAGCGGCTGAAGGTCGAACAATAAATCATAATTAAATTCTCAAAATAAAGAAATAATAAAATAAAGAATAAAACAATGCATAGTACAAAACCGTGGGGTGTTTGATATAATAAAGCTTACAATCATTCTATTGGCAAGACTATCTTTGAGACAAGAGTTATGAAAACGTAGTAACTGGCCCACAATGGTGTAAAATAGAAATCCATATATGTATGTACATATGTAGTTTTGTTAAATACAGCTTTACACAAAAAGAGGTCAGGGAAATACTTTTTTGAAGAAAACCAATATTACCAGTAAATTTTCTTTTTATACCCTTCCAGAGCAATGGTTATTATAATTTCAGTCAGAAGTTTGCAACGCAGTGAAGGAGACACCTCAGACCCCATAATGTATATACATTCCTGATCAGCATCACGATCAAAATCGAAATATGTACGTCTGTACGTCTGTCCGTCTGTCTGTTTCTCTTTAAACTAGTCTCTTAGTTTTGAAGCTATCTTGCTGAAACTTTCCCAAAAGCTGTATAGTTTTTGCACGCAGCATATAAGTCGGAAAGTGCCGGATCGGCTGACTATATCGGATAGCTCCCATACGAGAGAATGAAATAAAAATTCTCACGCCTTTGGTTTTGGTCAGATCGATTTCTTCCAGATTGCGTTTTCTAACTACTATTGAATTTCGGATTAAATTTGATCAAAATCGGATAACTCTATCATAAAGCTGCCATAGGAAAGATCGAAACAAATATATATATATTTCAAAATATGGAGTTTTTTACTAACCCTTGAATCGAGAAAAAAATTGCATTTAAATCCGACAACGTTGGCATATAGCTGCCATAGGAAAGATCGAAAAATCTTTATGGAAACAACGAAAAAAAAAATTATAACATCATTGTTTTTCATCAAACAAGCATGATTTTTGGAATATAGAGCTTTCTTGAATCACGCATTGAATTTTATCAAATTCGGACAACTACATATATCATATAGCTGTTGTTTAGCCCTTATGCATTTTGATCGACATACAGTGGTGGCCACGAGTTTAGCACACTATGCAATCCCCCCATTTTTGAACTCCAATTTCACCTTTTCACCAATTTCATTTTTCGCCGAATTTTTTTTATATATGTACGTTTGCTCTATTAATAGGACAACATGCACCGTTAATTTTGTCCCATTCGCTTTTACCGTTTTCCCTTACCAAGCCTCTGAACCTAAATACCTCAAAATCAGACTGGACACCAGTTTAGCACACTCTTCATATTTTTAGTTTTTGACAACGGTGGTCTCGTATTTTTTGGTTAAAGTTAACTGATATTTCTTGTTGTCACTTAGAGAGTATAAAAAGATGTGTTTGCAATCCCACCAGCTTCTAAGTGCTTAGAAGGACAGCAGGAAGTCATCCAGACTCTTAAATCAGCTTGGAAAACGATTTTAGAGATTTCTGAAGACTTAAAATGTTCCCGCAAAATGGCTTACAATGCTCTAGGACATATTGAAAGCAATCAAAGTACCAAACCCACCAGGGAAAAACCCAGATCCCGAAAAACAGATGACAAAGAAAAACGACTTGTCAAAAGTGTTTCTGAAAAATACTCATTTAAGGGCTCTAGAACAATAAACATCATCAATATTTAATATAGATTTGTTCTCGAGGACTGCAAGAAGGCGATGAAATGGTAAAAATGTCCGAAGGTGCATAGCTGTGCAAGAGCTGCACGTATCCAAAAAAAATTTTTATGCCATAAGTATTTCAGCTTTCAAAGGAGCATTTGAAAAAACCACTGATTGTTTGGAAAACGGTTTTGGGAAAAAATATATCTGATACATCTATCAGAACCAAATCGACAAAACTTGGATTCATCATCCCACAGAAAATTGTTCCAAACAATGCAAGATAGCTTTAGAACTGAGAGACTAGTTTGAAGAGAAACGGACAACGAAAGATAAATTTTAAATATTATTGTTATACGCAATTGGTCGACACTAAATACATACGTTTAATAATTAGTCAGCTAAAACGCTTTGGAAATTAATACATTTGCGACAAGCGAAAGGCCTTTTGACCTAGCAGTTTGTGTGCTTTATTTCTCACATAATGCTATTCCTCCCGCAAAGTATTATTTACATCAAATGCAGTCAATTCATTATATTAATAAAACCGTTTAGGTATCATGGCTGCTGTGTGGCGAGTCAATAAAGACTTCCAAAGCTGGGCTTCGCTAGGCCAAAAGCTCTTGTTTAAGCTCATTTAAGTTGGTAGACCCAACTAATTAGAGTCAAAGATGTCGAGCTTCGGTCGGCCACTTGATTTACATTATTATTGGGCAATGCTCAAAATGATAAACTGCGGTGGTATGCTAATCCGAGAGGCTAAGTCCACATGGTATTTCATTTATTTAATCATTTTTTAGACTCACAAAGCATTCTTGGCGTGCAACAAATGAAATTGGCGTGCGTTGGTCGTGCATAAATTGGACATTTTACTTTTATTTCCTTTGAACGTGGTTAGCTAATTGGTTAATTAAGTGAGACCTGGGGCAAAAAGTATCGACGAAAATGTATTTTCTGCTAGCCATGCTATTTTGGTCAAATTAAATGTTTGTTGCTGTGTGATTTTTTTTAATGGCATTATTAAAACGGCTTACGCCTCATCTGCTGTCCATCTGCTTCTTCTTCTTCGTAACAATATCTTGTATTAGTTTTTTAAAGTAGGCTAAGCAAATTCGCGAAACGCCATCAATAGATTTCGTTTAAAGTGAAATATGCTTTTGGATGCTGCATTCATGCATTAGAAATTAACCAATATGCAGGGGTCTCGATGGGTTTTTATACAACAAATGAACAAAGCGCATGAAATGTGTGAAGGTCGTACACGTAGAAAAACCAGATGATAACTGTGGTGATATGTTTAATAGTATTATATATTATATTATATTTTTTACAACCCTGCACCATCAGTTTCTTTTTTGTAATATTGTTTTTTATTGATAAAATCATTTTCATAAACTGATTACCAAAGCCTTTTTTTCAGTTTTATAACGCTATATTGGCTGTGATACAAGACCTATCAAAAAGAGGTGGGGAAAAGTGCCTCCTCACGATTGGGTAAAAAAGTGGCAAACAGTCAAAAAAAGACAAGAGAAGTGGGAGCAAAAGTGAAACTAATTTGGCCCTTGGGAAAGCAATCGAAGAGCACACTGGCTGGGACTTACAGGGCACCTAGAGTTCGGATATACCCATGCGATACCCAGTGGAATCGCCTGCAGCGGAGCAGCTCAGCCTGCTTGCTCATTTCATTAGTTACAAGTTCACCGAGGCTGCGGCGGAGCTGGACATCCTTGAGCGCTCGGCCAAGCATGTAGTTTGGCCATTAGCACCGGCTAATAGCCAAACAGACTAATTTCCGCTAGCTGCAGCGGCGAGCGTGGATCGGCTGACCTTTGACATTAGCCGGCGGAGGCCCTTAAATCGCTGCGTGGCAGCTGCCGCGCATGCAAATGAGTGTTGGCGTGTCCCGCGGACGCTCAATCCACTCCACTCGGTGGAGGTTTGTGCCCTGTTGACATTGCCGAGCCCATCAAAATCTTCCGATAACGTCGAGCGGTTCGAGCGGTTGCCTCTGTGCGCAGCCACGGACTTAACCCTTTGCTGGGCCGCCCTTTTCCATATCTGTCTATTATAATGGTTTAGCTTGGTAATTTTTTTAAAGACAAGCAACTAACAGCGGTCTTAGGGTAGACTTTAATCACTAGTTTTTGAACAATTGTAGGGTTTTAGCACTTCTTATGTTGCCTTCAATTGGAATCCACTCAGATCAGCATAGTCACCAAATGATTTCTGTCTCAAAGCTTACTTACTTTGAATTACTATTATTGTAACGAATTTAATTTTGGAGGGAATATCTACTGGTTGAGATGATCTTAAGTCGACTATTGCCTTGAACTAATCCAATCGGCAAATATGGTTTGCCTTTGTAAAGTCCCATAAACAGAAATCCTAAGCTGCACATTCAGAAATTAAATTCGAGTCCAGTTATTGAGTTTCAGGTTCCCTTTTCCTTTTGAGCACTGACAAAGGGACAAAACCTTTGGCGAAGGGATCTGGAACTAATTGATAAAAACGAATACATATATCTATTTGTTATTCTTAAACAAGTTAAAGTCATAACGATGTAAATTAAAGCCTACGGATGTAAGTCAGGCCGAACTTTTACAGATTTAATTTTGTTGAGCTGTGATCGCCCCACACCCATCGCAGGGTTAACGATCGCTGCCGCACTCTCTTCAAAACGGACTGCCTTTTCTTCGGCAAGAAGAAGCGCAAGCCCTCGCCGAAGACGCGAAGACCGGTAGACGGCTGGCCAATCTTATTTTGGCCCAGACCGAGCCGAGCCCAGCTTTCGTATAAAAGTGACGACCCATCTGCAGTGGGTCATCATTCAGCTTGAGCGTCTTGCGACCAGAGCTTCCCAGCAGATCCAACGAACTTTAGGAGCCACTCCAACAAATCAACAACAATGGTGAGTGCCCCGTCCACTTGACTCACCGCTGGCCAGACAGCCGCCGACCTTGCCGTGCCATCGTGCCCTCTTTGCTCATCCGCTTCCGCTTCCCTTCCAGAAACTCTTCGTCTTCGCTGTGTGCGCCATCGCCGTGGCCTCCGCCGATGTGTCCCACCTCAACCTGGGCAGCGGCTACAACTACAACAAGCCCACGCCGACCTTCAACATCCCCTCGGCCCCCGCTCCGGCCTACCTGCCCCCCGCCCAGGAGGTGATCTCCGCGCCCGCTCCCGCTCCAGTCTACTCCGCCCCGGCTCCGGCTCCCGTCTACTCCGCCCCGGCTCCGGCTCCAGTCTACTCCGCTCCTGCCCCCGCCCCAGTCTACTCTGCGCCGGCACCCGCCCCCATTCCGGAGTACCTGCCCCCCGTCCAGGACATCCCCGCCCCGGCTCCGGCTCCGGTCTACTCCGCTCCAGCTCCCGCTCCAGTCTACTCCGCTCCAGCTCCCGCTCCAGTCTACTCCGCTCCAGCTCCCGCTCCAGTCTACTCCGCCCCTGCTCCTGTTCCCGAGTACCTGCCCCCCGTCCAGGACATCCCAGCTCCAGCTCCAGCTCCAGTCTACTCCGCCCCTGCTCCGGCTCCAGTGTACTCCGCCCCAGCACCCGCTCCCGTTTACTCTGCCCCAGCTCCTGCTCCCGCTCCTGAGTACCTGCCCCCTGTCCAGGACATCCCAGCTCCTGCTCCAGTCTACTCTGCTCCTGCTCCCGCTCCAGTCTACTCCGCCCCTGCTCCCGCTCCAGTCTACTCCGCTCCAGCTCCTGCTCCTGAGTACCTGCCTCCTGTCCAGGACATCCCAGCTCCAGCTCCCGCTCCAGTCTACTCGGCGCCCGCTCCCGCGCCAGTCTACTCTGCTCCTGCCCCCGCTCCAGTGTACTCAGCCCCAGCTCCAGCTCCCGTCGAGTCGGGCTACCAGTACAACGTGCCCGCCAAGCGGTTCCGCTTCTAGGCGGCAGGCGACAGGTGGCAAATGGCAGGCAACAGGTGGACCAGGTAGCGCCACAGCCATTCGCGCGGGGACCGCTTGTTAAATTAACAAGCGCCGTCGCCCATTGTTGTTGAATATTTGTTGTTACGCAAAGTTCCCGTTGAGATTTTAGCTAATAAATAAACATATAAAGTTATTAAAATGTGAAGACGAGCGTTGATTGCAAGCGGATCGATGGGGAGAAGGGCCTGATCGCCGTTGCGCGACTTCGGCGACCGCTTTCATATACATTAACTCGGCCCATTACGCCTGTCGAGAGATCAGCAAAGTCGCGTAAGCGGTGCTCCAACAAAGATCCAGGTTATACAAAGGTGACCTCGGGTGTAGGCCATGAGTGCATTGCCAAACTTTTGCTTGGCCGCTTCGACAAGACTGCTTAACTTGTATATAACACGCTGATATGCGGCAGTTAAGGACTTTTGATACTCCTCGATTTTTCAAGGGGGTTGGCCAATGTGCCAAAAAATAAATATATGTATATCAGTACTCCGGCAATCGAAAATAGCTTTCAAATATATTGCAATCCCAGAGTCTTCTTAGTTTATCTTAATCTTTACCGATATTAAACGCTATAGTCGTGTGCCCCGACAATCAGATACCTGATACCCATATATGGAGTCAGATGAATTGAATTGTCTAAGGATCGTGCGTAGACATAGTTAGCTGCGTTGGCTTAGGTATCTACTTTGGGTAAGTTTGGAGTACCGGATATCAAGACGGACGCACCCCAACAGAGGTATGAATGAAAGATAATCGCGGTTTGTGGGCGTGGCACTTTCTTTAAAGCCTTTTCGCTGCGTAGGAAGCCTAGGCGTCGCAGATTTTCATGATATTCCTATCATGAAAATCTGCGACGCCTAGGCTTCTCTGTGAGTAGAGTCCATGTTTTTGTAAAACAAAAATAGTGGGCATGGCACAAAAATGGAACAAACTTGCGCTACAAACAACAAGAACATACATATGTACATTTTAATGCCAATTTTCCAGCTCTTACTACTCCCCAAGATCTCGACGTGTATTCAAACCGGCAGTCAGACTGGTATAGGTGTACTCGTGGATCCCTATTACTCTTCTTATAATGGGTATACAAATGAGCGAACTAATGCAAACTTTTTGCCTATTTAAGCTTGTTACCTTAGGGGCTCTTCGGTCGAAAAGGCCTCCAAACTCATTCTGAGTTCCAACTGTGTACTTAATCCACACCCAATTTACTTTTGATGTTGAACGACAAAATATTTACTTTTAAATATTTGTAACTAATGATAAATAGTTTTATTATGAACATTAGGTTTGTGTCCATCTTTGATTTAAGTATACCATTTGCGTTATGATATAATGGATGCGTAGTATAATTTTTAGAGTATGCACTGCATTATCGTTTCAATTGCTTAGTTATGTAATTAACTCGTTATATAATTTGTTTACATGTCAATGCAATGAGCCTTGCACGAGTTTAAGTGTATATTTATTGACTATATTTATTTATGATCGTACTTGTTTAAATTTAGATAGTATTAATGGTATGTATCATATATAACTTATGCTTACTTTGTTAGAGTTCAAAAAATATACAGATAAAATTAAAATACTAGGCGATGTTTGTTTAGCTTAACAGAAAGGAAAATGAAATAACTTTAAAAAGAAAACCGGGATGAGTGGTAGTCCAAAACAACCGATCTAAACAATTTAAAGTATTTAAAGGTATACTTTCATGTAGTGATCGTCATAGGGGATAAAAAGTATCTTTGGACAACTTTTCAGAGAATTTGAATCAGTACCGAATCTACATTGATTTAAACACAAAACTGTTAAGGATAAAATATTGCCGTGATTGCATTCCTAATCATTATATTTAGTTCTTTCAACTCCGCAAGACGATCGCAATCGTTCTCAAATGACAATCTACTATATGTACAGATTCTTCTTAGGCGCCTGTCGGCGTTTGTTATGTGTCGTAGTCGTCCTGCTGCGAGCTGAAGTAGCTTACCAAGCCACTGAACTCGCCCACGGCAGCTGCTCCCGTTGCGGGAGGAGGAGCTCTGGTGTCGTGAGCCGATCCCGAGTCATCCTCGGCGATGGGCGCAGGTGAGTTGGCAGTCTCTGCCGAGCCTGGCACCTCGCCGACCACAGCGATCGGCGACTTTCCGCCTGGGTACGCCTCCAGAGTGGTCAGCTTCTTGCTGGTTATCACAGAGGCTACGGGAGGCTTGTGGCTGCCGGCCTCGCCGGCCGCTGCTGGAGGAGGTACTGCGGCGGGGGGGCGGTCCTGCGACCAGGCTCTTCCCGTGCGTCAGAGCGGACACCGAGTGGTTCGTTGGTGGCCCTGCCGGCGGAGCACTCACGATCACCGAACTGGGCGCTGCGTGCGCGGGAGGCGTGTTCAGCGGCGGGGGCGGGTGGTAGTATCCGTACGGGGAGTATCCACCTGCAAAACAGCATATGTTTAAGGCCAGACCACAAGTGGTAGGAACAACCAATCGGCAAAAGCGACTACAGTGAGTGATTTGCTCGTTATTATGCTTACGTGCTCCGGCTGCGTAGTCCACGGATCCTGGCCGCATGCTGCCAGGTCCTGGAGGGCCGCCGACCCGAGGCGAGAAGTTGGGGTTGCCGTAAATAGGAGGGGCTCTGGAAAGGACCGATGATGGTGAGACTGGTGAGACTAAGCTCGACTGAATTTCCGACTCACCTGTAGGGGTTCAAGTGGGGCGACGCGTGCCTCGCTGGAGGCGGTCCGGAGCCAAAGACTCCCCCTATTGGCGGACCGGAGGGTCCGGCGTGGTGCTCCGCCCCGTGGAGGTAGGGTGGCCGTGGGTTGCCGGAGCCACCGCTCGCCGTCGACGTGGGTGGGCCGGATCCGCGCAGAGGCGGCGGCGGTCCGTAGGTGGGTCGCAGGGAGGCGTGGGGCGGTGGTAATCCAGGCGGCAGCTGCGGCCGCAGCAGGTGCCTCGGGGGTCCGCTCGACGACGACGAGGGGGAGCGGGAGGCCGCGCCGGCGGGGCTGGGCTGCTGGCCAGCCACCTGGCCGTAGAACCGCGCCAGCTCCGCGCTGCTGGGGTACATGCCGCCGGGCGGTCCGTGACCTCGTCCGTGGGGCGGCGGCAGGTGCGCCGGCATCCGCGTGATCACAGAGGCCTGCGGCGGGGCCGCACTGGCGGGAGCGTCCTCGTGCGGCTTGAAGAGCGGCTGCGGCTGTGCCTTCGCCTTCTCCGCAGGGAGCGAACCCGGCGTCGAGGAGGAAGTGGCGGCCGTGACTGCCGCGGCCGTTTGCTGCTTCTGCAGCTGATCCCTGAGCGGAGTCACCTTTTTCCGCCGGCCCCTCGGCTTGGAGTCGGGCGCCGGACTCGCGGCAGCTGCCTCCGGCGGACGCACTGCAGCCGAGGCGGCCGCAGACTGCATGAGGTGCGCGGCTGCCGCCGCCGAGGGCATGGACATGACCAGGGGCAGGTGCTGGGCGGACCCGGGGGGCCGCTCGCATAGCTGCCGCAGCCCAGCGGCTGGCCGAGCGGGGCGGAGAGGGCGTTCTGCAGGAGGTGCATGGCCTGCGGCGGGGGCACAGTCTGCGAGAGGTGGCGCTGCAGCATGGGGTGCATGCCGTGGGGAGGGTGGGGCGGCAGCAGGGACGCGGGGGGGTGTGCCGGACCGGCAGAGAGGGGGAACTGGTGGCGCAGGAGCGGCGGATGCATGGTGGGCATGGGCAGCCGCTTGCGGTGGGGCTCCTGGAGGCCGGACGCACTGGGCGCGGGAGCGGGAGCTGCGTGATCGGTGGCCGCCTTGCTGGGCTGCCGCTGCTTGGAGGGCGTAGTGCGCAGGACCTCCTCGGCGCCAGGCAACTCGCGGGCTGCCACGGCCGCGCTGAACTGCTCCTCCTCCTCCACCATGCGCGCGATGGCGTCCTCCATGTCCTCGGGCAAGTCGTCGGGCAGCTCGGCGTCATCCAGCTCCGACTCGTCCACGTCGTCCAGGTCCCCGATCGCCTCGCCCTTGCGCTGCAGGTAGTCGATGTCCAGCACCTTGGCCTGCCGAATCACTGAGAGTGGCACCGTCGAGAGCGAGTCTCCGCCCGCCGCCTTGCCGGGCGTTCGCTTCTCGGGCACGGCGGCACCGGACTTGATGGGTGTGAGGCGGGGCGTGGCCGCCAGCTTGGCGCCCTCCGCGTTCTTCTCCGCCAGCATCCGCTTGATCTCCTCCTGCCGCTGTATGAACTTCTGGCGCTCCTCGGGCGGTGTGTCAGGCCGATGGACTCCGGGCTTGATGCCGCCATCGGAGCTGTCGTCGTCTGCATCAAGGGATAGAGAGAATGGAATTGGTAATTGGTCAGCAATTGGTGAAGTGGATGCCTATCTACCTGTCGAATTGGTATCTATTATCTATGATATACTGCTACAGTCGATGTCCTCATGTCATTAAGTTGTTTCAAACCTCTAACCCAACCGAACTATCTAAGCCTCCAATCGTTGATTAAGTTCAAGCAATTAGGATAGCTGAGGTCCTCACGAACTACATATACAGTAGAATCCGCTTATAGCGACTTTCAAGGGACCGACGAGTTTTCGTCGTTATACCCGGAAGACGCTCTAAGCAAAAGGATATAAGTCTATAAGACCAATCAAGCAATCGAGTTTTCGTCGCAATACCCGGACGGACACTATAAGCGGAGTCGTTATAACAGGATTCTACTGTATTTGCTGACACAGAAGCTTCTGGGGGTTTAAACCTTAAAGGCTAAGTTGTCCTAAGCCTCAGTGCAAAATGCGTAACTCGAACCCAACTGACAAGGCAAAAAGCTCCAAGGGTTGCAACACCGAAGAGTATCTCCAGTACTGGCAGCACTTACCGTCCTCGATGTAGGCGTAGCGGCGTCCCCTGGTGCGGGTGCGGTCGTCGGAGGCGGCTCCGTCCTCCTCGTCGGAGGATGGCGGCTTCTTCTTCTTGGCCTTGCCCTTACCCTTTCCCTTGCCTGACTGCGCGGCGGATGCGCTAGGCTTGAGGGGCTGGGAGCGGGGCTGCTTGCCGGAGCCCTTGCCCGACAAGGGCGCACCGGCCTCGTCATCCTCGTCCTCGTCCTCCTCCTCCTCCGGCTCGCTCTCGCTGATGTCGTCGTCGGAGTACTCCAGGCGCTTGGCCTTCTTCGCCGACTGGGTGGCCAGCTTCTTCAGCTTGGGCGACTTCCTGGCGATGCCAGCCGCGGAGCTGGACTTCTTGGCGGCCGCCGCCGCCTTCTTCTTCTTCTTGGAAGGATTCCAGGCGCCGTCTTCGCTCTCGGAAGTGGTGTCGTCGCACAGATCGGCACTGTCCACGTTCTCGGACAACTCGTTGTCGTCGTCATCTTCCGTCTCCGTTTCGGTGTAGTCCGAGTCCTCCTTCTTCTTCTTTTTGTTCTTTGAAGCCCGTCGCTTCTGGTCTTCCTCCTCGCTCTCGTCGCTCTCCTCCACCACGAACTTGCGGTCCTTGCGCCTCTCCCGCGCCGCCCTCCTGGCTGCCTTTCGCTGCTTCTTCCCGCGACCGGGTCGCCTGTACACCTCCAGACTCGAGTCGGAGTCTCCGGATCCAGACTGCGAGGTGTCCTCGTCCGAGTAGCTGGACGTCTTGAAGTCCTCATCGCTGCCGTGGTCCTCCTCGCTGCTCACATCCAAGGTGGTCAGTTTGCGGGGCTTCTTCTTGGCCGGTGGCTGCTTGAACTTGCTGCTGCGCTTGAGGGGCACCTCGTCCTCGGACGACGAGTGGCTGCTGCCGCTCGACTTGGCCTTCGGTTCCTCCTTCTTTTCCGGCGCCGCTCCCTCCGCAGGCAGATCCTCGCGTCGCGCTTTCTCCTTGTCCGCCTCAATGATGGTGGAGATGTCCTTGCCGCGACCCAGGTTCCCTGCGCCGGCGACCTCGTCCATCTCCTTCTTCAGTGCCGAGTTGATGAGGTCGTCGTACTCGTTCAGCCGATAGCTCACATTGATCTGCCGCCTCTTGCGCAACTTGTAGATGGGTTCGTCGTCCGAGTCGGAGAAGCTGCTGCTGTTGTCGCTGCTCGAGCCGGAGCCCGATCCCGACCCGGATCTGGAGCCACTGCCCCCGGACTTCCCGTTGCTGAAGTCGGACTCGTTTCCGCGGCGGCGTCTGGTCCCCCGCTTGGCAGCTCGCCGGTTGCTGCGCCCGTCTCCGCGGCGCCTCTTCACCTTCTCCGGCTTGCCAAGCGCCTCCTCGTCCTTCTCGTCATCATCGTCGTCGTCGTCGTCTTCGTCCTCCTCCTTCTCCCTCTTCGAGCTGCCGTCCTTCGCCGCCAGCGAGGCCGCCTCCTGCTCCTGGCGCGCCAGCTCCGCCTGCTCCTCGGCCAGGATCCGCTCCTGCTGCTTCTGGGCCACCATCGAGTCGAACTGCTGCAGCTGGCGCTCCAGGGCGGCTATGAGCTGCTCCTGCTGGCAGGGCGGGCAGTGCCAGTCGCCCTCGGGGATGTAGAAGAGCACTGGCGAGAGGCAGGAGCAGTGGTAGCCCTTGTTGCAGGCGGGAGTGTCGCAGAGCAGGATCCACTCCGGATGGTCGGACTTGCCGCACTTCTGGCACGCCTCCTCCGCATCCTCCTGTTGAAGAAAACGATGTTTGTTCAAAGCATTACTTTCAGCTCTTGATTACATGCATCTATTAAAGTCTGCTAAAGTAGTGGGCAATCGCTTTAATACCGATCGAAATCTATCATTTTGGGCTTAAGATTAGGAATAAAGCTACTACAACCATTTCGAATTTGAGGAGATTCGTTGCTGGATAAGTTCGCGCCTAAAATCGTATTGAGATTCTAATGCCATTTGCCTGTTATACAAGTTATATCTTAAGCGCATGGATATAATATATAACTAAGTTTTCTGGTTACCTCTTCTTGGTCTTCGGCGTTTTCCTTGCGCACTGTGCGCGCCCGCTTCATGGGCACCACCTGGGACTCGTCCTCCAATTCGGATTCCGGCGAGAACTCGTGGTCGGAGCGGAAGAGCGGTGAGCCAGGGTCTGTTTCGTAGTGCGGCGGCTCCTCCTCCTCCTCCTCGCTCTCGGGCTGCTCCTCTGAGTCCGAGGACCAGCCGTCCTTGCCCGGGCACTTTTTCTTCTTCTTACTGCGGGCCTCCTCCTCCGCCTCGCTGGCCTCGGACTCCGACTCCTCTCCCGAGGGCTCCAGCACTGTTGGGTCTGCCTCCTTTGCGGCCTTCTTCTTCTTCTTGAGCTCCTGCTTCATGGTGCGCAGAGCCACCTCCTCCTGCTTTCTGCGCTCCGCCTCCTCCTTGATCTTCTGCTGGGCAATGCGCCGGGACTGACGCACTGGAGTCTCCGAGTCGTTGGTCTCGATGATGTTGGTGGTGTCAACCTCACGCTTCTTCCTTGGTCCTCTTCCCCGGCCCACCTTTGCTTTAGGCTCTTCTTTTGGTTCCTCCTTGACGTCCTCCTTCTCCTCCGGCTTTGTCTCCTCTGCTGGTATTTCCTTGACCGCATCCCCTTTGGCCTCGGACTTTTGATTGGCTAAATCTTTAGCGGATTCCTCGTCTTCTTCGGACTCGTGCTTCTCCTCGGCTTTCATTTCTGTCGGGTGCTTGTCCTTGGCTCCGCCTCGCGTCCTCTTGGGCTGAGGCAGCTCGGAGTGCACGACAGCAGCACCTCCGCGGCGACCAGAGCGCCGAGCAGACCCCTCGGGCGGAGAAGACTCCTCTTTAACGGGAGGCGGCGAGTTCTTGACTGTCCCTGCAAGGGGATCCTCAACCTCTTCCTTGATGTCCTGCTCGTTGTTGCGCTTCAGTTTCTCGCTAACGGCGGGGGAGATGGATCGCTCGGCGAGGACTCCTTGGAAAACGTCTCTTTGGCGTCCTCGCTGCTCCGTCGCTTGCGTTGGCGCTCCTCCAGGTGACCGGGAGCCGTGCTGGGAACAGAAACCGCGGGCGGTATGGTCTCGCTATTCGTCCGCTTCCTGGGGATGGCCTCCTCCTCGCTCTCCTCCTGCCGCAGTTGAGTTAGGAGATTCTTCTTTAGTGGCTTGGTTACCGGTGCCTTCTTTGGTGGACTGAAGGAGCTGGTCGGAGGTGTAGCTTCTCTGACCGGCTGCGTCTTCTCGGCACTCTTTTCAGACTTGGGCTGCGGCAAATCCTTTTCGGGCAGGCTGCCCTCCGTCGATTTCTTTAGTTTCCTCTCTATAATTTCTTCGAGAGTGGGCTTTTGTTTGGTTACAGTGGCTACAATCTTTCTCCGGCTGCGGGGATCCTCCTCTCCGCTGGAGGACGTTGTCTCCTCGATCTGCGTTTTTTGAGCCTCAATCTTGCGCCTGGTCTCAACGTTGGTGGTCTTGGGTCGCATCTTAATGCGCTTGCCCCCCACATCCTGGTCATTAAGAGCTGGGTCTCCGTCCTGCGGCTCCTCCTCCTGCACCTCGCTCTCGGAGGTGGAGTTCCTCAGAGCGGGCTGAGAGTCGTTAAGCCGTCTTTTGCGATTCAGGAGCACAGAAGGCTTAGGTACAGATATTGGCTCACCATCTGGAGGTGGCACTACAGACGGCTTGCGATTAACATCGTTCTCCGTTGGCTTGTCGTTCCCTTGGGAAATCAGGTTTTTCGAAGTACTCGGCACTTCACTTTGTACCATTTCCGTTGGTTTATCTTCTGCGTGGGAGGAATCGCTGCCTTTGATAGTTTCGTGACAGGTTGCAATAGCATCGCCAATAGATCTTATCTGATCTTTAGGCAGACTGGAGGGTTTATTGTCGTTCGCAGCCGTTTCTGAACCGCTTTCAAAGCGATCTTTAACCTTTTCTGGCTTAACTTCCGTTTCGTTGGTAGGACTTACTTCGTCGACTTTGCTTGAGGGAGGACTAACGAGGGGTTCACATTTATCAGCATTCTCAACTGAATCGGTGCCCACTTCCTTTGGGTCAGGGTCTAAAGCTGCTTCTGTGGCGTTTGTTTCCGTTTCCGGTTCAGTTCTGGTTTCATTTTTGGTGTTATTCGGTGTTTCTTCTTCACTCAACACTTTGACACCGCCTATAACAGCCTTCTCCAAATCCTTAGTAGAATTCAGATCATCAGTTACTAATGGTTTATCAGTTTCACAGGATTCGGTTTCTTTCTTAATTGGATGACTTTCATTGCTTTCTTCTTTTAAGTGCGCTTTGAAAGTGTCTTCCTTTCCTGCGTTCTGCAGCAGTTCCTTATCCTTAGGCGAAGATGGTTCTCCTTTATCAGAGTGGTTTTGCATTACTGAATCTTTGCTTTTGTTGTTTGTTATATTTTTTTCTGTTACTTCGTTTACGTTTTCATCTTTTTCGCTTTTTTCGACAGCGTTGATTTTGAATTTCTGCTGATCGCCGGACTCCTTCTCTTTGACGTCTTGTGTTGGAACTTCTTCGTCGGTAGCTTCTTGGCTTTTATTAGTCTTTTCGCTCGGTGCGGCTGCAGGTGGTGTAGCTTCGTCGCTCGCTGGAGCCTCCTTGAGTTCGCTGCCATTTCGGGGAGGGGTCGCTTCCCGGCTCCTTTCACTCTCCCCATTCGTTTTCTCCTCGTTTAAGCTGGCGAAAATGCTGCGCTTCGCCTCAGGCTTTGGAGTTTGCTTCATGGGGCTCAGCTTGAGGCATCCCGGCTCTCCGAAAAAGAAGGTGGCCTTCGGCTCCGAAGACTCCGTAGTCGTCTCCTCCACGGGAGCTTCGTTTTTGCCATTGCCCACGAGGCAAGCAGCTCCCCATCCTTGGCCCATCACATGGAGCACCGGATCGTCGATGGATTCCCCGACCTCCGGCTCAACCTCGAAGTCAAGGTCGTTCAGATGATTCTCCAAAAAAGAATAAGGGATTGCTTTGCAGTCACGTCCCGATCCTTGACCTTTCACCAGTACTGTTGGGTCCTCAATCGCCTCACCCACTTCATCTTCGTCGTCGTCTTCTTCGATATCCGCCGCCGCACTATCGACGTCCTCCTCCTCCTCGCCCTCATCCAACTCAGAATCCTCATCGTCCTCCTCTTCCTCCTCCTCTCCGGACTCTCCCTCGTTCTCGTCCTTGGTGCTCTCGTAGCGACTCGGCTTCTTGATGCGCTTGGTGTCCAGCAGAGTGGGTCGGTGCTTCTTCTGCTGCTCCTCCTGGTCGGCTGTGGGGCTGCTGTCCACGTCCTCGATGGTTCGCTTCTTGGCTGGCGCCGGCGAAGCGCTGCCCCCCAGTTTCGTCTGGCTGATGAGCAGTGGCTGAAAGATCGAGATTGAGATTCATCCCCATTCGGCTTTTGCTATAAATACCTTGACCCTCTTGGACTTCTGCTCCTCTTGCTCGGGAGAGCGCAGTTTTATTTTCAAATTGGGCACCGTTTTCACGGGCTGCCCCTTATGTCCTCCTCCTCCAGGTCCCTCTTCCTCTTCCTCTTGGTCTTCATTGCCCTCCTCATCCTCGTCCTCTTCTTCCCTTTCCTCTGGAGGAGGCGGTTTTGCCGGACAACTGTTGCTGCTGCTGGTGTCCTCGTCGGCCTCGCCGATGTCCTTCGAGGGCAGAACCACCTCGTTGCCGCGCAGCCTGGCGATGAGGTTGACGAACTCCTCCCGGTTCGTGGCGACCACCTGCCAGATTTCCTCGTCCAGGTGCTCTTGGTAGATGCGCAGGTTGCAGTCGGCGTCTTGGGTCAGCCAGTAGGCGTGACCCAGCCGATCCCGCCCAATCGGCTCTGAGCGCAGGGTGTCGGCGTTCAGGGTGAGGATGTGGGCCCGGAACTTGGCGTTGCGCTCGAACTGACTTTCGAGGAGTTCCTGGACGGATGAGAGACTCGTTAGCACTAATACCCCACTGGTGACTTCAGTTTCGCCTCTTACCCGAAATATTCGAAGCTTGACCTTGAGGCTGGAGTTCCTGTAGCCAAACCGCTCGATTTCCCAGGCATCCTGGACCGAGTAGCCGAAACAGAACTTGCTCAGGGCCGACTCCCAGCTCTTCTCGTGGACCGTCTTTCGAGTCTTTCGCAGCAGCTTTATGTGCAAGTCCCTTAATTCGGGTACTAAAAAGGATAAGTTATTATTTTATTCTTTGGGTAATCACAGCCCAAGTAGTGTGATGGTAAGTATTAGTAATAGTAGTAGTAAGTATTTTAACAGAAGTGTATATTACTTTTTTTGAGGTTCCCTAAACAAAATAAATGTTACGCTGTTTTAAAATTGTAATTGTATAATTATATTTTGTAAACCGGAGGCAGCTTTACTTTTTTTTATAATATTTATAATATGTTTTATATTTTATATACATATATTTAAACAAATGTTTGTTCGTCTTATTTCATTCACTTTTTAGAAAAAGAACTGCAATTAAATTGCAAGCAGTGTAAAAAAAATTTACAATAATAAAAACATACAGTTTTTAATAAGTATAAACTTAATACAAAAACAAAGGTAAACAAATTTACTTTTAACAACAACATACTGGTAGGGAATATTTACATGCTCCACTCATTTGTTTTTGTTGATTGCGCTTGTGTTGAAAAGAAAACAAAAACTGGTGCTCTCTGTTGCACTCTCTTCTCTCTCTCACAAAAAAGTAAGCACGAGTGCTCTCTTTCTCTCCCCCTCGAAGTGAAATTAACTATACTGCAGTAGAGCAACTTGGAACACACAACTTCTGTGATTTTCATCTGAGCTTATCCCGAATAATTAAGCCTGACATAACTTAATTTATCAAAGCTCCACCAGGCACACACAAACACACTACGCTCTCCCAAACACACACACTCACCTTCGTTGTTGTTTGTCAACCACTCCTGCAAATGCTTGAAGCTCGGTAAACTCAGGCCCAAATCCTTGGCGAACTTCTGGAGGAAGGCGCATATAACCGCGAAGTCCGGGTCGTTGGCGCACGTGTGGAGTGTGGAGGTCAGGGCGTCGTCATCCTTGCACTCCTCGGATAGCGCCTCCGCCGGAACCGGGATGCGATCGGGGGTCGCCGCAACCGCAGCTGAGGACGCCGCCATTTTTCATGCGTCCCCGAGTACGGGTGAAAATTTTCGTAGGTGTACACTAAACTGGCAAAACCGCACAATGGGCACCGAAAATGCGACACATTTGTTCGCAGTTCACGCTCTCGTTTCACACGGCAATTAAAGTAGTCTAGTTTGCATTATTCTTGCCGCGGCTACTGCGATTTTACGGGAAAAAAAAACCTAATTTAAAGCAAAAGAAAAGGCTTTATTTTCGATTGTGAGTTTCGGTGTGGCTGTGTCTTCTTTTCCCGAAAATACTGAATATTAAACTAGCTTGGAGCAAGTTGGCTTTTGAAGGTATATGAGGAACTAAAGTCTGTTATACTTTACGTATTTTTTAATGTATATTTTTTGGTTATTTTTATATTATTTTTTGGTATATTTTTTGGGTGTATTTATAAAAAAGTCTGACTCCACTGTCAGCTCATATTTATGTTAGGAATACAGTAAGTTGAAAAAAAATATGTAAAGATCCCCACCATAACTTTGGAGTCTCTAAATCGATTTGTGGTCTTTATTCTAAAAACCATTTGCAATTTTACCTTTAGCCTATAAAGTTTTGCCACTGGCCTGTCTTATATACATATACTGTAATATTACAACATCAATATACAAATATACTAGTTTGAGGGCTATAAAAGGGAAATTAAAAGGACTCACCATATTTGCCAAGAAAGTTCGAAACTACAAAACTTGGTACTTTTTCTGTTATACAAGTTTCTAACAGTACATTTAGTATCTTACGAAATGGAGCTGGTTCGGTTTCATGAACCAGTTCCAATGAGCAAATGATTTGTGTGTGTGTAGGGGGAATTTGTTGATAGATAGAACGAGAAAACAGAAACGGTCAGTGCAAAACAACAAAGACGACGCAAACGAAACCAATTTTATTTTTCGAACTCAACGCAAATCAATTGGCATTGCTCATCTGCCTGCGTAGATTTGTGTTTTTTGTGTGCTCCAACGGCGGAACACTGCAATAAGACACCGCAAATAAAAAAGCTACCATAGTATCCAGTGGCCAGTGAAAGTGTAACGCGATAAATAGATACAATCAGAAACATCCAGCAGCAATGGCCACATATCAGATGAACTTTAACCAGGACTTTACGTAAGTAGCAACAAAGGTGCTGAAATCCTTGGTTAGAAGCCAGGAAGGTCACCGTAGCGAAAAAGTGGCAAAACCACGGCTAACAATTGAGATACAAAAATCGACAAACGAGACGGGTAAACAAGGCGAAAACAGCTGCTGTGGGGAGTGTGTTTGTGGGTGAGCGTGGATTGGCGTCATTAACTCGTGTGTATGTAGTTTATTAGAACATGCAAACAAGCAGTTCCAATTACAATGACATGCATTCACCTATTTTGAAATACCGTTCCCGGGGGTGGGAAAGTAACCGATTACACTGTCCAACAAGACAGTCAGATATATAGGGGAATGCCTTCGGCCTCGCTAGCCAACACTGGCCGTTTAATGGGCTATTAAGCGCAGTATTTTCCCAACGATGACCACTGTATGGGGCACCCACACTCGCACACACGCTTTTTATGCGCAACAGCTGATGTCGTGATAATCTATTCATGTAAAGCTTTGTACTGAAGAAGGCATTTAAAAACAGTAAACAATTTTAGAACAAGATTAAAGTTTTCTCTTTCTTAGTACGCAAACAGATGTTTGCTCTTCGGAGAGATTACTGTTTCAACCTTAAGCTTAATTAACCAGTTTCGCTATTGCACGGTTTGCGATTATTTTCAATCAGCTGATGTCATTGGTACTAAACAAAGCAACGGAAAAAGTGCAAATCTGCATAACTCCCGCATTCTGCTTCGTTTATTACCACAACAACAATAGGAATAAACAAAAACAATCAAAATTACAGCCTATGGCGAAAGTCGAAAAAAATCCTAGTGAAATTGCAATAAAATAGGCAGCTGATAGATGCGCGTCATAGACAAAAAGAGAACAAAGAACGGCAAGTGGAGAGGCAAACAGCGCGGAGAGACAGGGGAGAGCAGGGAAATTTCTAATCAGAAACAAATCAATTAGCCCGCGCGGGTGAATGGACGCAAAAATACGAAGCAAACATTTTTTTAATATTATCAAATGGGTCCGTTTCCTTTGATTTTTTTTGACAGAGCGATACTTTTAAAGAAGTTAACAAAATGTATAAACAGTTTGTTATTAAAAGCTGTTACTTGTCTGTTATCTAATTTATCTCAATGAGTCAATGAAATTTTTTTAATATGTTTAATGAAATTAATTTTTATTACATTTTTTTTTATTATTTTATTTACAGTAGCTTGAAATTTTTGTTTTAAAGCTTAATAAACAATTGCTATTTCTTTATTAATTTTTTGTAAGTGATCTGAATAAGGTATTTTTGAGAGAGTCATCATTGCTTTTAAATTTGCTGTTCTTTATTTGGCAACTTGCAATCGCTCATTCAGCTGAATTTTTCAATGCGAACGACCTCAGGTGCACTTTTGACTGCTGTAATAATGTGTGGTTGTTTTCGATGCGCTGCAAAAAAAGTGGCTAACAACGTATTGGTTTATTATTGTTAATCACTGCGTTTGTTTACCAACAACGCGAAAACAAAAACAACTTCAAGCAGGCAACAACAAACTAGAGACCTCAACGCGCTATCGCATAACAAGGGGCCTAGTAACCTTGGGCCCCATTTTAGCGACGGTTACGCCTTTGGCGGGAACTAGTTTCGGTTTCAAGAGAAAAAATAAATAGAGTCGGACGCAGCAACAACACGTGTTGCGCTCATATATCAAGCTATTGGGTAGAGCTTATCGCTTAGAGCGTGCTTTCGAGCCAATTATGTGCCAAAACTTAGTGTAATTATTGCTGAGCTCACTTTGCCGAGACATAGAAACCGGTTTTAAAAGTGGCGCTCAAAAAGTACCATTTACCAAATGGGACTTCGAACATCTGGCAGCTCCGCCAACTTACCGACTACGGCCACACTGGCGAGGCACTGCAACAGCAGCAACAACAACAAAGCGCTGACATTGAAAAGGCGAGAATTAAACGATAATTGTTGGAGTTTGCAATTAGAGCGAGAGGGTGAATGGGTAAAAATCGATACGCAGAGAAGCAGCGATGGAGCAGCGCGCCAACTTCCTGGCTCTGACCCTCCTGGACGCCCTGGAGGACGAGAACGAGTCGGACATCCTGTCGATGCTGGAGCGGAACAGCATAAACGCAGGCATTGCGCCCTGCGATCGAGGGCTGGCTCCCCTGCACTACGTGTGCGGCATGCAGAACGTGGAACTGGCTCAGCGCATCCTAAAGCGGTTCCTCGAGTGCCCCGACCTCGACGTGGATGCCCTCTGCGACGGACAGACCACGGCGCTGCACATCGCCAGTCTCTACGGACGCACGGAGCTGGTAAGGATGCTGCTGGAGCGCGGTGCCCGGGCGGACCTGGCCGACGAGGAGAACAAGCTGCCCGTCCACTACGCCATCGAGGAGTGCCACTTCGAGGTGCTGCAGCTGTTGCGGGACCACATCTTCCGCGAGAAGCAGCGCCAGAAGAGGCAGCAGCAGCGGGTCCAGGTGGTCGACGCCCTGACCCCCAACCAGCAGAGGTACAACCACGACGTCACCTCCCCATACTACATAAATATCACCCACAGGCGGCATCGTCCGCAGCCAAAGTTCCCAGAGCCGCCGGAGGTCGAATGCCCCTCGATTCCACCCCTGCCGGACGAGGAGTCGGTCAACCTGTTCGCCCTCACCGAGGCCCACCTCACGCAGCTCATCCAGAGCCAGCGGGAGAACCAGACGCTGGACCCCGACCAGCCGAAGCGGCGAACGCTGATCGAGAGCTGGCGAGAAAAGGTGGAGCGTTCGCGCGCCCGCCAGTCGCTGCTCCACCAGTACGACGAGCACGTGGAGGCGCTGGTGGACGAGGCCCTAGGGCAGGAGGATTTCAGCTACGAGCAGCACCTGCAGCAACAGCTGCGGGGCGAGGAGAATCCGAAGGGCCAGCCGGAGGACGCTCCCTGCTCGGGCCGCCAGGTGTTCGAGCTGCTGGTGGAGCAGGTCTCCCAGGCCGTGGTCGTGGAGCCGGAGCCAGAGCACAGCTTCTTCACGGCCCAGGGGGAGGAGGACGCCGCGGCAGAGAACTCTCCGCGCCAGGACGAGTACTTCCTGCAGATCAAGGAGGCCTACGTTCACACCGACGACGAAAACGGCTTGGTTTTCTACGAGGCAAAGTTCCTGCAGAACAGCGAGGGGCGGGAGCCAACAAAACAGGCTCCCAGGGAGCGGAACCCCGATCTGGAAAGCAGCGTGAGCACGAACCACACCCTCCCGCTGGACTACGAAACGGATGCCCTGCGCCGCGAGTTGACCCAGCTGGGCGCCCCGGTCGGTCCCATTACCAAGACGACCAAGCGGCTGTACATCAAGCAGCTGATCAAGTACAAGCGGAACACGGAGGCGCTGCTGGCCGCCCAGAAGCACGCCCAGGAGGCGCAGATCCGCTACTCGGTGGAGCTGCATCGCACGCTGCGATCGCCGGAGGACTTCGCGAGGATCAGCGACTACTTGCCGCACGAGGCGGCCTCGGCGGCGCACTTCGCCAAGTCCGGCGTAACCAAGAACAACGTGCGGGAGGGGCACCTCAAGCAGAGCTTTATCTACATGCTGATCGATCCGCGCATCTCGCGGAACCTGCCCGGCGAGAGCGCTTTCCTCGAGAAGTTCGCTGTGTGGCAGCGGTTCCTCGACTCCATCTTCTACGTCGGCAAGGGCAAGTCCTCGCGGCCGTACGCCCACCTCTACGACGCCATGCGCCAGCACACCCGCCTCCACCAGAAGCGGGACAAGGAGAAGTCGAGCAGGGAGCGCGGCGGCGGCTTTCGAGCCCTGCAGCCAGATGTTTTCCGCTCGCCGCCTCCGGGAGACGCAAAGATGGGGAGCCGCAAGCTGGAGCGCATCCTGGACATTTGGCAGCAGGGCAGCGGAGTTGTCTGCCTGCACGTCTTCCACAACATCTTGCCCATTGATGCGTACACCCGCGAGGCGTCCATGATCGACGCCTTGGGCCTGGCGCACCTCACCAACCTGAAGCGCGGCGATTACTACGGACCCGCTCAGTCGTGGACGATGAAGCAGAAGAAGCAGCTGGGCATCGCGCTGCTGCTCAAGGCCATGCACATCTACCTGGCGGAGGGAGAGTCCCAGCTGTCGCCCAGCGACCTGATCTGAGCAGGGAGCCGGAGGACCTGGCAATAAGCACACCAAGTACAAAGTGCCGTGCGCAATTCAAAAATGTTCAAAGTTTGATCTCAAGATTGTGTAGATGGAAATGGAAAAAGGATTGGAAGCCCTATTATATGAGGAATTGGAAATCTGAAACTTGCGCCAAAAATTGAAGTATTTTATGCGAGGGGTGATTCACATTCTTGTGCATCCGAATGTTTCCTCCTAATTAACTTTTTCGGTGGCTAGTCTTAATTATGTAAACAAAAGATTGAAAATAAAAGTTAACGCATTCAAGATAAAGCAAGTGTTTGATTCGCAGAAACCTTTCGCCAAGTGTTGAATGTTTGTAATTTGTGTTCAAATTCAGTGGAAAAGAAACCAAATTATAAATTTAACATCCCCATGTTAAAACTATTATTTTTCGTTTATTCCTACGCATGGTGTTGGCCAACAATGCGATTTGTAAATACAATTATCGATTTTTCTCACTTGTGTTTCCTTTTTTTTGAGCTGCTGTCAGCTCAACAAGTGGTTGTGCTCTCTAATTTAATGCTTATTTTACTGCCCAACAGTAGGATTGTCAGCCAGGAGTGATGCAAGCGAAGAGTAAACTATTAACTTTGTTTTTACTTCCAAACAAATTTTTAATATTTCCTCAGCCGGCTGGGCGAAAACCACCCCAATAATGTTTGACCAAATCTCGCTTGTGCATTAGCAGCACTCGAACGCAGCAGCTGGAATCACAACTACAAACACAAACGCAAGTGGAGCCCAAAAGCATGCTGCACCTTTTGAATTCGTTGCTTGAGAAATTTTCGCCTGCGTGCGCATACAATTCCCAACTGGTTCTGGCAGTGCCTGCATGGAGTATAGGTCGAGCCGCAGTGGAAAGTTATCTTTGCGCAGTGGCAATACCGTAACCGATGAAGTTCTACTGAGGTGCGGTTATTGCTAGTTGAAAACTTTAACCAATACCCCGCCATGGGGACGTGAAATACCGTCCACTACGGCAATTTTTGGAAGCCCGAGAGGGCTAATTAAGCAATTCATTTCACTTAACGAGACTTAAGGGTGCTATTATTTCGCCTCCCCAAATTAGTTCAACACGTTTTGCTTGTGGTAGCTATTACGCTGCCGTAATGTCCAAGCTATAGGATCTGAACGTATTATACAAATTATTTAAATCCATTAATAGTGATGGAATTGCAATATATGTAAAATCATGGAATTTTAAATTGAATGTGTTTTAAAAGTGTTATGCACTTTAAATAAAAAAATATATACATTGTTTAGAAACGAATTTTTAATATAATTATTTATTGTCTTCTCTCTTATATTTTGAAAGGCAACAACTTGTGCTTATCTATTTTCTTTTTATTTTGCAATAAAAATTTGGAATTTCGATATGTTGTCAATTTTGTAGTTGGGTTCAGGCAGCTTGAAATCGGCTGGGAGCTATGGATCTGCAGGGCTTTGTTTTAAAATCAACGGAAAAAATACTATCAACTTGCAAGTCATTTTCCGAAAGCTTTGCAATTCGACTAAATATAATGTACATACATATATAAAATAAAACAAGTAATTTTATGGTTTCCCCTTCCCGACAGATCCCTCTCCGTGCTGAGTCCCACGGGCCTGCGCCTTTACTCGATTACCAGCCAGGACAAGGTGGAGGAGATCTTCGCAAAGGACAACACGGAGCAGATCCGGATAGTGGAGCGCCTGTTCAACAGCTCGCTGGTGGTGCTGGTCACCGCCCAGAAGCCCAACTGCCTCAAGATGCTGCACTTCAAGAAGAAGCAGGACATCTGCAACTGCTTCTACCCGTCGGAGATCCTGTGCGTCCGCATGAACCGCCAGCGGCTGGTCGTCTGCCTGGCGGAGAGCATACACATCCACGACATCCGCGACATGAAGATCCTGCACTCCATCGAGAACATCGCGCCGAACGAGCAGGGCCTCTGCGCCCTCTCCCTCAACTCGCACCTGGCCTTCCCCGTCTGCCAGACGAGCGGCGAGCTGCGCATCTTCAACGCCAGCAAGCTGCGCACGGGCATGACGATCCGGGCCCACGCCACGCCCCTCTCGGCCCTCGCCTTCTCGCCCAGCGGCGCCCTCCTGGCCACCGCCTCAGAGCGTGGCACCGTCATCCGGGTCTTCTGCGTGAAGAACGGCCAGCGGGTGCAGGAGTTTCGGCGGGGCGTCAGCTGCGTGCGCATCGCCTCCCTGGTCTTCTCCGCCAGCGGCGACTTCCTCTGCGCCTCCTCCAACACCGAGACGGTCCACGTCTTCAAGATCGACGCGCGGGCGGTGGAGGCTGTCGAACTGAGGGCGATAGGTGAGTAGCTGTCCTGAGAAGGAGAACGCAGTCCTGTCCTCATGCCTTTCTTGGGGTTGCTTCTTGACATGGTTTAGCAGTGTTAGCGTCCTCTACTTGTAAAAAAGATTAAAGATTAATAGCTTTTTTTAATTAAAAATAACGTAAAGCTTGATTTCGGTTAATGACTACTATTGTCAACAACTACTTACAATCTGTTCTTTGTTAAAATCTAATCAAAGAACTAAAAAACACGCAAAGCGTCACGATATTAGCATTCAGCAGTAAAAGATTGCAAGGAATAATTTATTTTATTTAATAATGTACGGACATAAAAATGTAGAGCCCACTTTTCAAGTAGGAGTACCAATTGCCAGTCACCAAAGTTTAATATTTCAGTTTGACAAATTTTTTACCTAAAGGTGTTGTAAAAAAATATTGTTCATATATGATATGTTGTTTGACTTGTGCGAAGGTCCCTTGTTCAAAAAGTCCCAGTTAAATTTATAGAATTCGTCAACGAAAGACATTTCGACTTTATAGCTGTTGATATAAATAGGCGAAAGAAAGTTGTTTTTATGTAACCTGCTTGAAGTTGACATGGGCTCGATTTAAACTAAACTTTCGCTTTCATTTCCAGCGGACGTGGCTGCCAAATCGGAAACCTCTGCCTCGGAAGCGACTGCAGCCACAGCAGCTGAGGAGGGCCACAAGTCCGCCGCGCCCGCCGCGCCCGCCGCCAGCTGGGGCGGAATGTTCTCCAAGGCGGTGTCCTCGCTGCTGCTGCCCACTCAAGTGAGCGAGGTCCTGGCCCAGGACCGCTCCTTCGCCACCGTGCAGCTGGCGCAGGGGGGCCTGAGGCACATGTGCGCCCTGACCCGCGTGCAGAAGGAGCTGCGCCTCCTGATTGCCTGCGAGGACGGCTTCCTCTACGTGCACGAGTTCTCCGCGGAGCGCGGCGGCGCCTGCAAGCTACTGTCCGTCCACGACCTGCGCGGCGCTCTGGAGGGTGTGATCGAGCTGCAGCTGAGCGAGAGCGTGCTGAGGTCGCAGATCAAGGCCACAGGGCCAACGGGCACGACGCAGCCCTCGCTGACGCTGCTGAAGAGCTGTGCGGCCAGTGTGCTCATCGAGAATCCGGACCCGATGCAGGACAACAGCTACGCGGGCATCCTGAAGGGCGACCAGGCGGATGCCATGTCAGGTGAGCGAACCCAGGCGGTCATTTTGAAAGAACTCGCCTACCAACGTCCCCAATCTCCGCCAGATTCCGCCAAGTTCCGCAAGCTGCGCGACGCCATCGACACTCCAACGAAGCTCTACGACGAGCGACAGTTTCCGCCCGTGGCAATTGCCGCCAAGGATTGACCACGGCGACGATGCCACAAGGACATGGTCATAGTTGATCGACAGCAGATGATTTAGCAGCTCTAGAGAATTCCACCAGGACATTACCTTAGATAAATCGCCTCAAGCTAATGTTATGACAAACCTTCCCTAAGGTGTAACTAGAAGCAAAATACTCTTCAAAAAAGTATTTTTAATTGTAAAATATAAGAATATCCACTTTTAGTTTCAGTATGATTATGTATATACTAAAGTATCTGTGAAAAAATATTTCCCAAAAAATGCCGATTCTGTTGTTAATCTTTTTAACTTATTTATGTCCTAGCATTCAAACAGATAATATCTTATTCGACTAATTCAACTCTATATTTTTGTATGATATCAATTTAGCGATAAGAATATAGAAATATGTTTAAATTTAGGTAAAAAGAATGGATACGGGGAAGAAAAAAATGTACCTTAACTGAATTAATCAACGTATTTAACCAGCTTTGCAAAAATTATATACCATAAAAACAACTTCGTAAATATTTAAAAAAATTTGAAGCCAAAAAAGGAGCAAAAGAAAGTGAAAATCTTAAGTATTTCTTTAAAATAATTTCAAATATTATTTAATAGGACAAAATAAATACTAGAGAAACTTCGAATCCAAAAACATTAAACAATATTTACCATAATGATTAAAGTATGTATTATTACGCTGACATAAAAATTAAAAACAAAAAAAAATGTTAAAAGAAATATTAAAAAACTGAAAAAAAAAAAAAAAAATGGAAAAACAAATAAAAACGAAAAAACCCCACTTACGAATATGTGGTTATTACATTTTTGAATATAATTGGAATATAAGCACAATTTCTGGTGAAGTTTAACAGTAACCAAATGGGACCTAGATCTAGGATTTTGAGAATATACATCTTTAATTTTGAAAAAAATATCATATCTGCATTTGAATTTAGTTTAGATGCAGGGTTTGTCGATTTGAATGTTCCAAAGACCCGGGAAATGCTTATCATAACAAATAATGTGTGTCTTGACTGAAATTATAATACCTTTTTTATACAACCGGCGATTTATACAAAGCAGGAGTAAATGTAAAATCAAATCAAGAGCGAAAACTAAATAATTACTTTTCCACCTTTAACCAAAAGAACTTGAATACTTTATTTAAATTTAAAACAATTTGAGGAGTCTCCAAAGACCGCTTAGGTTAGATGCAACGGATAGATACTGTCGGTAGAAAGTTGATTTAAGCTGGCTACTACATTAATTAAAATTTCGTTTTTTATCCTTTTTTTTGTGAAGGAACTTTCACAATGATTCCCAGAATTTATTTCTAGTTCACTTACATATATTATATGCCGGAAATAATTTTGTTGTTGATAACGGGTATAAATAAGAAATTGTACTAAATCGATTTATTAAGCCGAATTATATAGTTATGTCTTTTAAATTAAAGGGTATTACATCGGGTAAAAGGTAGGTACTAAAATTGGTGAAAGTTTTCTGTATAATTTACAAAAAATGATTTATGGTAGCTGGGTTTTTAATTTTAAAAATGTTTATTAAATGCTGATTTTTGGGTGAATGTTAATTGGAACATCTACGTAATTTGGCATGGAAATCGTTTTCAGAGAAATGAATTTAAGGAATTGGTATGGTTCCAGTAGCCAATGAAAACTTATGTCCTATAAAACTTTGGATGCTATCAAACTTGTCCTTAGTTGAAAACATGAAAAGGTGTTTCTTGATCAACAAAATATTGTACCTTATGATCAAAAGTGCCACACGTATTTAATAATTTCTGCGTTGAAGAGTTTTGACTTTGGGAAATTGATTTATGATGTCAATGCGTCGTATTAATTATTCACCCAACCCTCATTAGTCGAGTGGCGAAGGCTCTTTTTCAAGCTCCACTTCAGTTCGATGATGGAGGTGATGATGGCGGTGGTGATGGTGATGGTGATGATGTCGATGTTGCGGTTGCTCTGGCTCCACCTCCGTAACCAACTCGGGTTCGTCTTCAGAAGTATGGGCCTCACTGATCTGTGTTGCCTTGTCCACTTTCCACCCGATCTCGGGAGGCGGAGTGGATGTCTTCTGCGACTTTAGCGAGAACATGGAGCCGATCTTCTTCAGCTTGTTGTGCACCGATGCCTCTACGTCGTGGTCCCCAGAGCTCTTGAGGCTTTTCATGGATAAACCACGAGACTTTGAGGAGTGTTTGGAGCGGCTTGAAGAGGAACTGGACGAGGATGAGCCGCCCGAGCCAGAGCTCGTGTGCACTGGCTTAGTGGTGATCCAAATTCTAGCCGCGAACAACGCTTCTGACTTAAAAGCTTCTTTTAGGGAGATCTGTAAAGAGGAGAGCAAAAGTCGAACGGAATGTTAGCCCACATCTTTTAACTCTATTTAAATCATAGTTATTACTTTTACTTTACCGAACCAATTCTCTGCAAAATCTAAGCAAATGTACGAGTACTCCAAAACACTGAAGGATATCTTGATAAAAGTACAATCCTATACAATCCTCACCTTCTCTTCGATAGCCACGGATTTTACGTTCCAGAGGAACTCCGTGCAGCCGAGGACCATGGCTGCAAACAAACCGAGTCCCAGCACCAGGAAGACGCCGCCCACGTTCTCCAGCCCCAACTCGGGTGTGTCTCCTCCCTCCTCGTCGCTCTTCTCGCAGCTCCCTCCGCCGTGCATCTCCTTCCACCACTTGCGCTTCAGTTCCGCCAGCTGGCCAAGCTCGCCCAATTTCAGCACTGCTCCGCTGATCTGTTTGCGGTACGGGGAGTCTGGAAGCATGTTACGCAGATATAGTTAATCCCATTTTGAAACTGCACTCCGATCAACACTTACTGAAGGGCATTGCGATGCCGTAGCTCTTGTAGTCCAGCCAGCCGCCAATCTGCACCAGGTCGCACTTCCGCTCCACATTGTACTCCAGGGTGGTGGACTCCATCAGGAAGGCGTACAGGTTCTTGCCCTTCTGCACCCTGTCGACGCCCTCGTCGTTCGTTTTGGTGAAGACCGAGGGACTGGCGCTCTCCATGGCGGTCCACATCTTCTGGTACGTGCTGAAGTTCGAGTCCCGGAAGAAACCCATTGTGGAGCCGCCGGCCATCGCGCCGTACTTAATCTTGGTCTGGGCCGCCAGATCCTCGGCGTTGTTGATGGAGTTCGCCTGGCGGGAGTTCGTCAGAAAGGCGGCCAAATTGGCCGTGTAGGAGTTCAGCATCATGAGGGCGAAGAACCACCACATTCCAGTGACCAATCTGGTTGAGGCAGCCCTGAAAAACAAGTGATCTTCAGAAAGGGAACTATGTGCTCCGGAGATCTCCTCTCACTTGGGCAGAATGTCGCAGCCCTGTCCCATCAAAGAGCCGATCGAGAGCCAGGTGGTGTTCATGATGGACCATATGTTCTCCACCTCTTCGGGCTCCTTGCAGGGGTGGGGGTTCTCCCAGTCGTCCGGCGCCATCCGAGCCAAGGCGAACAGCAGCAGAGAGATGAAGAGGTACGCGGAGCCCATGTAGATCCACACGTCCAGCGAGAAGGGCGACAGGAAGGAGAAGAGGTCGGTGGGTGGGGCTGGGGGCTTGGAGAACAAGATACTGATTCCCAGGGTCATGAAGGGGGGTGTGAAGTCCACGGCCTGGCGTCGGGAAGACGTCATCGTCAAGTCACAGATGCCCAGATCGGCATTCTAAAAAGTAAAAATAAAAAATAATTGAAATGTTCAAGAAATATTCAAGCAAACAAGAAAGGAAATATATCATTAAATATTCTAGTATTAAAAACTCAAGCTTTTGAGTAATAGATTCTTGCCAGAGAATGTAATTTTGTAGTATTAGTAAGTAGTAAGTAATTTTGTAAAGTCTTCAAACAGAACAAATATTTCATTGAAAGTTAAACCTACCCCATCGATAAGTTGCCTCACAATTCCATCCCAAGTTTGGGTCACCTTGTTCAGGGCCCCGTACTTTCCGTCGGGAGACATTCGGAACTCGTACTTAAAATTCAGCATCTTGGCAATTTCGTTGATGAGGTCTATTGAGTAGCCCTCGTAACGGGCGTTCCCCATCAGGACCTCTCCTTCCTCCGGTTCCCTCAGCGTGAGAAAAGGGGCTCCCAGGCGGGAGGACACAATAAATGTTTTGTTGGACAGCTTTTGGCCCACCCTCTTCTCGCTTTCCTCGTCGTCATTAAGCACATCCAGGCCATTAACCGGATCCCAGGTGGCTAGGTCCAAAAAGCCGTTGGCATTCAACTCCATGAATCTAAGGGTGAAGAAGCTCCTTTGGCCATTCTCGTTGAAGTCGATTCGTCCCGTGGACGTCTCCTCGGATCGCTGCAATATGCAAATAGGTGATCGGTGATAGTTTAATAAAAAGTAGAAAATATAAAAAAGAATCGGTAAATATAGAAAGCAGACAATTTCATAGTACTGTGCATTTACGGTAAAATTTGTTATTTACCATAATTAAGCTATTGCTATTAGTTATAGTACTAAAATAAAATTAATTTTTTACTTTTTTCAGATTTTTATATGTAATAATGGAAGAGCTTACCGCCTTCATAAACTCAATGATGCGTTTCCCGAAGGGCCAGGGCTTCTTGCGCCTGCACTCAAGTTCGGGTGCAGAGAGCTCCTCGAAGATTCCGAGCTCAGTGAGCCCCTTGGAAAAGAGCCAAACGGCATCGTTGAGCAGGATCATTTGGGTTTTCACTCGGTCCGGTTCGACCTTGAAGTACCGCCCCTCGCGCTTCTCCCGCTCCTCCCAGTCGTGCACCACGTTCTTCACGTGGAAATCGGTGGGGTCCATCAGGCGGACCGTTGTAATGTTCGCTTCGACACCGGAAAGATCGCCAAACTCGATGGAGTGCGTGTCCAGCAGGGGTATGAAAATGCTCTGCAATAAATGGAATTAGAGTACGTGACTCAATGTTCACCTCTTTAATATCACCTGGTATTCGCCCAACATTTTCAACTCATTCGCTTGCTGTAAAATGCTTAGCAGGTTATCTGGAGAGCAGTGCAGGACCAAACAGTTGTCGGTGGAGAGCTTGATTTCCTTTAGGAAGGGCCTGTGGTCCTCATCCGTTCCTAGCTGCTTTACTGTGGTCGGGTTGCTGCTGGGCTCGCCGACTTGCAAGATATCCTGGAGTTGCTGGAGCTCTGGGGGTCACCATTCCTTAGACTGTTCATAAGGTACGGTTGTTAATAAGGCACGTACCTCTATCGCTCTCATAGACCACTGTGAAACTGCGCCAGCCAAAACTCTGCACAATCTCCGCGTATCCCTGGGATAACAACAGGTTATCTGGATGAACATTAAGCGTCATCGAAGAGTGCTCCCGATCTGGAATGGATTCATTGGGTATCCAGTCGTACACAATGTGCGGAATATCCAATGTATCGCATATTGAGGCAATGATGTCTGCAAAGTCCTAATGTTATTTATCATGTAGTCTATTTAGTTATTTCAATACTTGCCAGAACTGCTGCCTGTGCTGGGTCCGAAAATGGCGATTACTCCCTGGGAAATTAGGTTGCACACTAAAAGAGAGTTTTTTAAAGTTATATGGTATATAGTAGTAACTAGTAATAAAGTCCATCTTTTGAATACTAGATTTATTTTAGCTTACCCATTTTTTCCATGATGAAACTGTCATCCGTGTTGGCGTACATAACAATTGGAACAAGCTCTATGTTTCGCTCCAATATGTTTGCACGATCCACCGCCGTTCGAAATGCAATTTCCGATTCATCTTTGTCCGATGTAAAGATACTACCTAAAGCACATGCGAAAATTCTGTTCAGAGGCCCACTCGAGGCTGTGACCTAATTTAAAATTGACTTACCCACCATAAACTGATTTCTATCAGCGATCACTGGCAGTAAAATCAGAATATGAACAATAAATACCGAGTACATTCTGTAACTACGAATTCAGGAACTCCATTTAGTTCAACTGCTCGATTCGGCTGGCCTTTTTGATGATGTAAACTGGCAACGACGAAATTTTCACCCACTTTCAACCGTGATGCTCGGAAGTCTGCGATGCAATGAGCAACGTTCCACATATGAAATCAGAACAGAATCTGAGCTATGCTAAAATTAAAGAAGCGCGAGAGGAAAGACCCGTGAGAGCACATTATGCTGTTTGTTTTGCTCAGCATGTTCTAAACAATATAAAACATTCTCAGATAATACAAAATAGTTCTGAATCGGTGCCAAAAAAATGTTGTCTTCCCTTGTGATTTATAGGACGGATTCATTTGAATTGTATTGTATAGTTTCAGTTTTTTCATTCATGATTTAGTGTGGATCGTGTGGAGGAGAGTGGGTTTATTGCGGTCGGTGAATATTATAAATACATATGTATGTTTGTTCACTAAGTATGAATTCTACAAGGTAAAAAGTAATGAGATCCAGTCATGGCATAAGTGCGTAGTGTGTTTTTTTATGTTAGAGTAGGGGAATGTTGTCAGGGTTGGGCCATATTTTGACCTATGTCCATAAGTTCTGAACGAATGACAATTTAGAATAAGTTTATACATTTTTGGAAAGGTACAAGCGAGAGGAAGTGTTCACCAAAAATAGAGAATAAAAAAACAGAAACAAAAAAAGTTATAGGCGTTTGAAAAAAAAAAAAAAATGTAGTTAGCGTTGGGCCACCTTCAGAAAATCGTTGACAATATCGTAACGTGGTGGAATAAAATTTAATTCAGGTAAATCTGACATTATTTTGTTCATTTTTTTAATTATTTGGGATTTTACAGTAAATATCAAATTATTCAGAGTTGTTTTTCGTTTGTAGCGAGAAACACTAAGGAAAAAGATAAAAATGATTCATCTTCTTTCAATCCATCAACATATTTTTTTAATGAAATCTATTTAATTTATTTTGCATATTTTTGCTACCAAAAACTTAAATATTACAACAAAAATCGAAAATACACGAATAAAATGTAAAAATTATGATGGCCCAAGCCTGACTACAAGAGTGGCCCAACCCTGACGACATGCGGTATTAGTCTATTATGGTATGATATAGCCAAACTATATCTAACAATGAAACTATATCTTAGTATTTTGTAATATAACAACTATATAACGTATTTTTATGCTCACTTTGCGGATGACATGTTGTAATCTTGTGTTATTCCACCTTTTCGGCCAGGTTAAAAAAACTTTTTCGAGCACTTTTTTTTCACAGAACAACGGCACGTAGAAAAATGAAATTCCGAAATAAGTTGTCACGTGGAAAGTTTCGAGTGACCGATAGAAGTTTCTAGATACCCACTAACATATGGTACTAGAACGAATATTCAAAATATTGAGATGGCCCAAGCCTGACAACGGCCCAACCCTGACAACATTCCCCTATATATACGGAAAATCCTTAAAATTTTGTGTATTATATAAATAACAATAAAATAATATTGGGGGTGGCAAAGTTCACAGGCTTTGTATTGTTTTACTGATCTTCTTATGTCATTTTTTATGACTGTTTAGAAATATAAAGCTCGCAAAGGCAAAATGACTTCTGGCCGGAAAAGCTAAATGTCCATAATTGGATTTCCAAGAAAGGAAGCTAGCTACCAAAAACCATGCATGTATGATAAAAACAACGCTGTTATAATCTTATTTCCATTAACTCTATATATTAATTGATTAGAAATTCGAAACTAGTTAAAAAACACCATCTGGAAGAAATCAATACGATATGGTCAAAAACAACGGCGTGCTAATTTTTTTTCAATCTCTCCTATGGGAGATATCCGATATAGTCGGCCTATCCGGCCCGTTCCGAATTATATACTACGTGGAATAACTATACAACTTTTGGTAAAGATAAAAGATAAAGATAGCTTTAAAACTGAAAGACTAGTTTACGTAGAAGCAGAGAGAGGATAGACGTACAGACCTAGACGACTATGTCGATTCAAATCGTGATGTTAATCAAGAATATATATATTTTTTTGTCTTGAAGATGTCTTCTTATAATACCCTCTGCAAGGATATAAAAACTCTAAATTTTACAAACTACGCTTGTGCGATAAAAAATAACGACGAAACAGGTTTTATTTTTAATATTTTACAAGTTTTTCGGTCTTTCCTATGGTCCTAGGGTTTCGATCCACATGAAATTTATTTCGAATTTTAGGAAATCTTAGAACGTATTACCTTTGAACCTACTATTTTTTTGCACCGACAAAGCTTACTTAATCTAATCGTCCGGTGATGCTGATTAAGATGTACTTTTTTTTTATGAGGTCAGAAGTGTCAACTTCACCCAGTTGAGTAGTTTTGACATATGGTTACGCTTTGTAAAACGGTATAGCTTTTTTCCATTATTGTGTCGCGTTTCTATATTCGAATTATTTAAGGTTCGTACTTCAGACATAATTTTAGCTTTGACCTTTTCGCCCTCCTCCACCCGAACTAGACCTTCTTGCGTACAAAGTGGTCGTAAAAGACGACGTATCCGAACTTGGGAGAGTAGACCATCGACCGCTTAGCGTTCCGCGAGTACATGTTGAACTGGCCGCCCACGGAGATCATTTTGTGGTCGCCCCGGTGCATGAACATCAGGCCGTAGTGGTGGTCGTGCATCACCTGGTAGTTGTCGCTGTCGGAGTACTTCACCATGTTGTAGCGGGGGTTCGAGTAGCTGAGGTGGTGGGGCATGGGCTTCAGCCGGGTGCGGCCGGCGAAGACGCCCCGCCAGTCGGTGTGCTTTAACGCCTCGCGGTAGCAGTTCCTCCAACTCATGTCCAGGTCGATGTAGCCGGAGATCTCCGACCCGTCGACGTTGATGTACGAGGTGAAGACGATTGTCTGGAATACAAAGTAATGTATTACTTGCAAAGCCCCAAAAGGACGTCAAGCCGATTCAGCAGCGACTGTGGTCCACTCACCGAAAGGATCTTGTTCAGGTTGAGCAACTCGCGCGACTTGAACTCCAGAAGCACCGGGTCCTCGTTCGTCGGGGCCAGGAGGTCGCTGAACAACCCAATGTGGGACGTCTTGGGCCTGATGGCCTCCAAGGCGATGTCCACCCTTTTCACGTACTCATCTGGGGTGTACGGTATCTTGGTGGTGCGGTAGCCCAACTGGACGATGGTCTTGATGGTGCTCAGGTTGCCCAGGTAGCGGTGGTCCTTCACGGTGGCGAACGAGGTGATGTAGTCATTGTAGTTGTCGAACTCCAAAACGCTGAAGTCCACGCTCTTGCCCTGTGCGCCCATTTCAAATAGATTCCAGTGTCCCTGGACTTCAGCCAAGAGCTTTTTCCTGCTCTTTGTGTGTAACAAGAATACTTGTGTTGTGTGTAAATGTTCAGTGTGTTCTGATCAGTATTTATGAGTTTTATTTACGTACATTTTGTTTGGCTGTCATAACTTGTTCTTGAAAAACACGATACACTTAAGTGATTTTTTATAATTTAATACTGCGGCAGTTCATGGACACAAAGGCACAGCAACATGTCGCGTGGGTGGAACAGTTATCGGAAGAGTCAAATGTCGCGGGCAAAAGGCGGGACATCGCCTACGAGAACTATCTAAATTCGTTTGTCAAGATGGAGGACAGGCGGTACTTGCCCAACATCAAAGTGATGCACCGACTGGTTCCCTTGAGGTCCTCAGTAGGAGCGATGGTGATGACCCCTTCCCAATTCAACGAGGTGCACTTCTCTCCTTTGGGAACGAGCTTCTACTTCAGCGAGCAAAACGTGGCCAACGACCCTTTGACCATGGCTCTTGCCGAGCGTGAGAAGCCAAACGCGATCAAAACCCTTTCGGTAAGACATTTCACTTAATATATACGTCTACAGCCAAGAAATTCGACCCACATATTGATCTAAGTGGATCTGCGGACAAGGTAGGATTATTATTGACCGGCTGGCTTTCGATATGCCTTTGGGTATGTTGTATGACTTGTACTACAACAGCTGTATTTCTTAAACTTAAAGATTAGTGAGCGTATTCTTATTGTTTAAAAGAAAAATACATACTTTAGGATTGTGCAAGTGTTTTATTCGACCTGTCACATACTTTTCAACAAAAACTGCGTACCCTTTTACTATACGAGTAACGCGAACAAATTCGCACTTTAAATTCGCAAATTAAATCAAGAAATCGCAATAATAAAAATAAAATACTTGTGTGAATATTCTGAAAGAGGCTGTACAAACTTTGCAGAGAAAATGGAGGAAGGAAACTAAAAGCACTGCAAATGAATGGTATCACATTACCTGTTCTTTTCACATCAGTCTAAATTTTTCGTCTTTTACTCTATCCACTTATCGCCACCCAACGAACACCTATAAAACAACCGAAAGTAAAATTTGCATTTAAAACCTTAACAATGGACTATTCCGAAAAGACTTCCGATATCCCCGAACCGAAAATCTGTATTTCTACCAGCGATTTTGAACACCTCGAGCAACGTCAGACGTTCTATGAGAACTACTTGGAGTACCTCCGAGGTCCGGAGATCGAAAGTAACAAGGAAAGAGGTTTGATCGAGCAAAATGTTGTTCCGAAGGTTAGTGCAAGCTGTGATTCCTCAATGAACTCCATGTTTACTAAGGTGGATTTGGGTGCAACTAGATTTTAGCACAGTTGGACACTGAACTAGATGAAGAACGGGAATATCTGAAGGCGATTTTGTGTTGCGCCTACCAAATGTGTAGCGGACTGCGGGCGTATATTCAAAGTGAGATTAACAACGTATTCTTTCGCTGCATTCACGAAACGGAGCAAGTCGATGGGATCCCAGAGCTCTTGGAGGTCTTTGCCGAGTATGCTTAGCCAGTGTAGTATGTTTAAGTTATTTGACTGTGGATTTTTCTACTAGAATAATTGGTGGATATGAAGTGCCTTTAAAGGCGGAACAAGAGCAGTTTCTGGTCGATATCCTCTTGCCGATGCACAAACTTGACAACCTCGAGTTCTACCCCACTGAACTGGTGAAATGCATTACCCAATACCTCGAAAAGAACAACCTCCTGGCCGGACCGCTGATAGTCGGCCTTTTGAGGTTCTGGCCAAAGATGTCTACCAAAAAGGAGGTCTTGTTTATAGAAGAATTGGAAGGGATTCTGGAAATGGCCGATTGGCTACAATTTGATGTAATCCAGGAGCCTCTGTTTCGTCAGATTGCCAAGTGCATGTCGAGTACAAGTTCTCGGGTGAGACTGAATTGGGCTCCTTTCTAAATAAGATGTCGCTAGCTTGTGTATTTAATATTTGTTCATACAAATAGGACTTTAATTTTGTAACATTCAGTAATCCAAACCCTCAAATGAAACAAAACTATAGGTTGCTGAACAGGCTCTTTATCTGTGGGTCAATCCGGTGGTCCTAAGTCTGGTAGAGGCCAACTATGAGATCATCATGCCTATCGTGTTTCCCGCTCTCCATGTCATCAGCCACAATAAGTGGGTGGAGGACATTATGGACCTTGCCCTTCAAGTACTAAGTATGTTCCTGCGGATGGACAAAAATCTGTTCAAAGAGTTGGCCTTCAACTTCGAGGCAGAGCGAGAGAAGTTCGTTTGGATCCGCAAAACATAGTGACTTCATTGTACCATGCTCCATTCGTCTATTTTAGGGGGAAACAATTTGAGCTCGAGCGAGAAATGCGATGGAAGAAGGTTTACGAACTGGAAGCCAAGAACAGAGCCCTGCACTTCAAAGACCAAAAACTCCAATCTACGAGCCAAAAACTGAAATTCGAATTTAAAATTTATCCCGAATCTATAATAGAGGAATTGAAATCAGAACTCCGCGAGCCGAAACACAAACTCCACCAAATTTACAGGCCGTATGCAGGTAGCAGAAAACACTCTGTTCAGATGAAAAGTACAATAAGAAACTTTCTGTTGAATGTTGAAAAAAATGAAAAAACTTGATAAAAATTTGCTATACAAGTTGGAAAAAAGCTATACAAAATGAAAAAAAAAAAATTGTTGTAAGTGAAAGCCAGTTATCATTAGGAATAATTATGTTATCAAGTTAAGCACAAGGGACTGAATTGTTTTTATAACTTAAAGTAAAAAAAGGCCAGTTGTCAAAATAGAAAATGCTAGTAAAAACTAAGAAAGCATTTATAAATACATATGTATAAAGGCATTCAGATTAGTAAGTAGAGTTTACAATTAACACAACCCGCAGTTCCTATAACGCGTCTTTCTTCTCAATGCTGATCAAATTATAAAGAAGGACCCGCCCCCAAAGCTGAAAACGACGATTGCTGCGAATTCAAGAGTAAAACCACAGTGGGTGTGGCACAAAAAGATCGAAAAAAATATATATAGACAAGAAGAATCCCGCAGCTTCACCTGCGAATATTAAGTTGGTCTTTCGCTAATAGATCGGCTCTATCATAAAGAGCTTGAGCTTGGCTTTGTGTTTGATTCTTATTTACACATAATTTCCTCAATTTCACACCACCCTAGAGGTAGAGGTCATGGTGCGTTTTTATACCCTTGCAGAGTAAAGGGTATTATAATTTCAGTCAGAAGTTTGCAACGTAGTGAAGGAGACACCTCAGACCCCATAAAGTATATACAGTAGCGGATTTAGAATTTCAATCTGAAGGGGGTTTTCGATTGAAAAAAATACGAATAAGAAAAAAACGAATAGTTTCAACTTAATTTTACCGCTCTGCGGGACTTTTTGGTAGAGGTTTGAACCCCAAAAACCACCCCCGTAAATCCGCCACTGAGTATATATATTCTTGATCAGCATCACGATCAGAATCCAAATACGTCTGTCCGTCTGTCCTCCTGTATGTACGCAAACTAGTCTCTCAGTTTTAAAGCTATCTTGCTGAAACTTTACCAAAAGGTGTGTAGTTATTGCACGCAGTATATAAGTCGGAACGGGCCGGATCGGGCGACTATATCGGATAGCTCCCGTACAAAAGGTCAAAAAAATTACGGGAAAAATGATTTCTTGCAAATGGTGTTTTCTAAATACTATTGAATTTTCGGACTACTATTCGGATTAAATTTTATCAAAATCATAGGAAAAGATCAAATCCATGGGAAAGATCAAAAAATATATGTAAAAATAATGGAAAAAAATTATAACGTCGTTGTTTTTAATCCCACGAGCATGATTTTCAAAATATTGAGTTTTATAATAACCCTTGAATCAAGAAAAAAGTTTCCGACCACGTTATCATATAGCTGCCATAGGAAAGATAGAAAAATCTATATAGAAAAAACGAATATAAAATTCTAACTTCGTTGTTTTTTATCAGACAATTATGATATTTGGTATATATAGTTTTCTTACGACCCTTGAATAACGAATTAAATTTCATCAAAATCGGACGACTACACCATATAGCTGCCATATGAACAATAGTCAAAAATATGAAAAATTAATAGAAAAGTCGTCGTTGCTTCGATGTTGTTTAGCCTTTGTGTATTCTGTTCGAAATATTTGATGACTGCAAGGGTATATAAGCTTCGGCTTGCCGAAGCTAGCTTCCTTTCTTGTTTATGTTCTCTTTGCTAATGTCTCACAAATCGTTCAACCAACAATTAATAGAAGAAAAAAAATTCCGGAAATTGGTTTTTGTGGACAAAAAAGTCATTGTTGTTTACAATTTCGACTTTATGAACTACCCTTGAATCGAGAAAAAAATTTCATAAAAATCGGACAGCTATATCATATAGCTGCCATATGAACAATAGTCGAAAATATGGAAAACGAATAGAAAAACGTCATAGCTTCGATGTTGTTTAGCCTTAATGTATTTTGTTCGACATATTTTATGACTGCAAGGGCATATAAGCTTTGGCTTACCGAAGCTTCCTTTCTTGTGAATTTTAGTATCGGCTCTTCTGAATTTCAAATAGAATTTCTTCAGAAACGCCGACCCTGATGTATATCTTATTCCACTTATACGTGTTTCCCTTTCTTCTAGACTATCATTTTCGTGAGCACACGAGACTCTAAGGGCTTTAGTGTGTCCGGCTATATCGACTTGGAGCAGAGTTTACGGAGTTTTAAGGCGGTTGGGGCCAAGTCGCATCCGTGGTCAGATATATTTGCAGGCCGTCGCCGCCTTGAGCCGAATCGACAGGATCTGAGCTTCATCAGCTGGAACAATGGCAAAGTCTTCTACAACGAATCGGATAACTACAAGGTTATCCCAGATGCTGTAAAGGGCTTGTGCTTTTGTACAAGGGCGATGGCTCGCTGCTCAGCATCGAAAAATATATAACTGCAGAGCACCCACTATGTACCTATATAGAATCGCCGAAGCACGGGTCAACTGTCATTTACGATCACCGAATAAGACGAAAGTTGTGATTGAGGAGAAGCCATGGCTTGGTTTGAACTACTAAATAATAGAAGATTGGAATCCTATTTGTATGTACTCATCTCTAGAACGTAAGTTTGGTTTTGCGCAGCCTCAGTTAAACTAAAAAGGAGGCGTATTCAGTGTACCCTTACAATTTTGACTCGACATGCATTTGGCAATCTGACCAAAAACTCGCTCATGGATTACATCAGAATGCAGCCTATCAATCATTTCCGGAATCCCTCTGCTTATTGTACAAATGCGATGGTTCGCTGTTCAGCATTGAAATATATATAATTGCAGATAACCCACTTTGTACATTTCTAGCATCGCGAAAGCATGGATCAACTGCCATTTATGATCATCGAATAAGACGGAAGATGTGAGTGACAGGCTATGCCATTTAATAATTGAAATATGTAAGACCTATTAATAGAAATCCACCCGTGTTGTAAGTACTGTTTCTGAGGATATAGCACAATCTTTTCAATCAATCAAGTAAAGTATAGTTCCCTCCAAAACATTACCAATAAAATTCTTAGAAAGCCCAACTAACACATTCCTTAAATGAAAACAACATCGCTGTCGTCACACTGCTTGGCATTCCCGATGGGAAAACTGAGCAGAGGATGTCACAAGTGCCGGCCAGACTGCCTGATACCTCCGACGTCATGGACAAGCGCCACGAAGAATATCGCGAGAGATGCGCGTTGCGCATACGAGACGTGTGACGGGCTCTCTCTTCAAGACTGGAGAGAGGTCCCCCTGTCGAGATCCCACTCCGGGCGCGCCAGTTGACTCGGCAGTCAGTAGGCGAGCGAGGCGCTCCAAGACTGGTGCTTCCGTTGCGGGAAAATAAATCGTTTAAAATATCTCAACTGTGGGTGTGCTAGTCTTCGTGGATATACATTTGTACATATGCATCTGAGAAGTGTGCGCGAAATGGGCGCTGCATTTAGAAAATTCAATTAGTTCCGAGTGTCTTGAGGTAAACAGGAATTTGGAGAACAGAGCAATGCATCTGTGTCCAGCTAAAACCTATGCAATCATATTCGCCATCATCGAGGCGAGCCTTGCCCTTGGTGGCGACGGTCGCAATGAAATCACCGTGGGTAGGTTCCTCGGCGGTCTGTAATGGGAAGTTGCTCAACATTTTGCCGCCCCACAGGTGCCATTTTCTATGAAAACGAGAAGGAGATCGAACTCAGTTTCGATCAGGCATTTCGCGAGGTCAACAACTTGAAGTTCGCCGATCTGCGGTTTGGTACCATCAAGCGTTTTATGCCCACCAACGACAGCTTTCTCCTGCAGCAAGTTAGTGAGTAAATACCCCCAAGTCTCGGCAAGCAAAGTTTTGAGAAATTCATCTTCCGTGTGTAGCGTGTGAACTGATTTCCAATGGCGTTGCGGCTATTTTCGGACCAAGTTCAAAGGCAGCTAGTGGTACGCTAGAATGTAAGGCAGAAGACATATGTTCGTGTTGTGACGATCCCCGTTCTTTGGCAGATATTGTGGCGCAAATCGCGAACACGACCGGCATTCCCCACATAGAGTTCGATTTGAAGTTGGAGGCCACCCGCCAGGAGCACCTGAACCACCAGATGACCGTCAACGTGGCTCCCTCCCTCTCCGCGTTATCCCGGGCCTACTTTGAGATCATCAAGACCAACTACGAGTGGCGAACCTTCACGCTAATCTATGACTCGCCAGAGGGTAAGGAGTTGTGGTCTAGAAGAAAAGCTTGTACCGGGGAGGCAATGTCTAAACAGCCTTATAATTAGGCAGTGCCGAGAGAGTAGCTTATTGCCGACCTTGCTCGGAGGTTTTTCTTTAGTTTTGAACAAATAACTGGGGGAAGACTACTGATGCGACTGCTTTCTCAAAGTTTAACGCGACTCTTGACTTCTGGGAGGATTTTGCTTAAACTGTGTTGCAACTTTAGTATTTGCAAGTTTAGTTACATGTTTCAATTAATTATTTTAATTGATTTTTTGCTCATCTTAGGGCTGGCTCGCCTACAAGACCTGATGAACATTCAAGCTGTAAACAGTGATTACATCAAGCTTCGCAATTTGGCGGACTACACTGACGATTATCGAGTCCTGTGGAAAGAGGCAGACGAGACCCTCCATGAGCAGCGCATAATTTTGGACTGTGAGCCGAGCACATTAAAGGAGCTGCTAAAGATTTCCGTAGGCTTTAAGCTGCAAGGTCCCTTTAGGGTAGGTAATCCATTAAGGAATCCCTTTCAGTTATTGCAATTCATTTCTTTTAAGAACTGGTTTCTCACGCATCTGGACACGCACAGCTCGGGACTGAGGGATATTTACAATGCAGACTTTAAGGCCAACATTACCTCAGTGCGAATTAAAACAGTGGACCCCAATCCTTTTGAAAGGAAGAAGACCCGAATTACCAAGGTGGACGTAAGTGGAAAAGTTGGATGCTGGCAAACTTGGGTCTAATTTGGCATGCTCCGCAGCAAATATTGGGAAACCAGACCATGTTGCCCATACTCATCTTCGATGCTGTGGTCCTTTTTGCCAGCTCCGCCCGAAATGTACTGGCCGCCGTGCAGCCCTTTCATCCGCCCGATCGGCACTGCAGCAGCCCCTCTCCGTGGGTTCTGGGACCCTACATCGTCAACGAAATGAAGACGATCTCTGAGGACGACGTGGAGCCGCGCCTCAAGACCGAGAACTTAAAGCTAAACGAGTTCGGGCAGCGCACCCACTTCAACCTCGAGATCTACAAGCCGACCGTGAACGAGCCCATGATGGTCTGGACGCCCGACAGCGGAATCAAGACCCGGCGACTCAGCCTGGAACTGGACAGCGGCAGCTCCACCCAGGATTTCTCGGAGCAGCGCAGGGTGTACACTGTGGTAACGCACTACGAGGAGCCTTACTTTATGATGAAGTCGGTGGAGGAAAGCACTTATTTTGCACTGCTAATTGATCGTCTTTCTTCGACCAGGGAGGACCACGAAAACTTCAGGGGCAGGGAAAAGTACGAGGGGTACGCGGTGGACCTCATAGGAAAGCTCTCCGAGCTGATGGAGTTCGACTATGAGTTCATGATCGTCAACGGCAACGGAAAGTACAATCCAGAGACCAAGCAATGGGATGGGATCATTCGCAAGCTGATAGACCACGTACGTTCCGCACAAAAGCCCTCCAATGCTCCCTGAAATATATGCTTGAATTCACAGCATGCCCAAATAGGAGTGTGTGACCTGACAATCACCCAGCTGCGACGTTCCGTAGTGGATTTCACGGTGCCCTTCATGCAGTTGGGCATTAGCATTTTGCACTACAAGAAACCTCCGGAACCGAAAAACCCGTTCGCCTTCTTGGAGCCCTTTGCTCAAGATGTCTGGATTTACATGATCTTTGCACAGTTGGTGATGACTTTGGCCTTTGTCTTCATCGCCAGGTGGGTCGTTCTCAAATTTGTCTCGGGTCCTAGTGTTTCATTGTCTCGTTTCAGGCTCTCCTACCGCGAGTGGCTGCCACCCAACCCCGCCATCCAGGATCCAGATGAGCTGGAAAATATATGGAACGTACACAACTCGACTTGGCTAATGGTGGGCTCCATTATGCAACAGGGTTGCGATATACTACCGAGGTTCGATGTTGTTTGTATACCAAGCATGCTATTTCCAGTTACACTGAGTGAAGTACATTAAAAGGCAGATCTAGGTTTTCCACCATATACCACCATCTGTGCTGCTAGAACCAGCAACGCAACACTGTCTTGGAAAGTCCTGTACTTTTTAAACGAAGATGTCGATTAGTTCCATTTTGAATGACTAGACCTGTGGCAAGCTTAATCCAAGTTCCTTTACCTAAAACCTCCATTTCATCCCATTCCCAGAGGTCCCCACATGCGAATTCTCACCGGAATGTGGTGGTTCTTCGCCCTGATGATGCTCAGTACCTACACGGCCAACTTGGCCGCCTTCCTGACCAGCAACAAGTGGCAGAGCAGCATCAAGAGCCTGCAGGACCTTATCGAGCAGAACGAGGTGCATTATGGCAGCATGAGTGGCGGCAGCACCTCGCTGTTCTTCTCCGAATCGAACGACACGGAATACCAACGGGCTTGGAACCAGATGAAGGACTTCAACCCGTCCGCCTTCACCACCACGAACAAGGAGGGGGTGGAGCGGGTGCGCAAGAAGCAGGGCGACTACGCCTTCCTCATGGAGACGACCAGTCTGACGTACAACGTCGAGCGGCACTGCGACCTAACCCAGATCGGCGAGCAGATCGGGGAGAAGCACTACGGCCTAGCCGTGCCCCTGGGTGAGTGTTCCTCGAGGTACATCCGAAACTCAGTGTCAGTGTTTTCCCGCCTTTAACAGGGGCCGACTACCGGACCAACCTCAGCGTGTCCATACTCCAGCTGAGCGAGAAGGGCGAGCTGTACAAGATGAAGAACAAGTGGTGGAAGAACCACAACGTCACCTGCGAGGCCCTCCACGAAGTGGACGGGGACGAGCTGTCCATCATTGAGCTGGGCGGCGTTTTCCTCGTCCTGGCCGGCGGCGTTCTAACCGGCGTGATCCTGGGCATCTTCGAGTTTCTGTGGAACGTGCAGCACGTGGCGGCGGAGGAGCGGGTCACCCCGTGGCAGGCCCTGAAGGCAGAGCTCGCCTTCGCCATCAAGTTCTGGGTCCGCAAGAAGCCGATGAGGATCTCCGGCAGCAGCGAGAAGTCTTCGTCGAGGCGGTCGTCGGGGTCGAGACGCAGCTCCAAGGAGAAGACCCGCAGCAAGACGGTCAGCTAGGAGCTCGCAAACCACTGTCTTCGTTCTCACTGTGGCATATTAATAAAGAGATCGGAACAATCCGCAGCTCGTCCGCTACATATATTGAGATATATTTTTAGATATTTTTAGAACACCGCGGGCGCATTTGGGCATATTCGACGTGCTGGAGAATTTCCAAGGGTGGCCATAAGAATTGTTTTGTATAAAACATTAGTTTTCGGGGTTTTATCGCCCAAAGAATATAGAGTTCTTCTGTTTGAGCTAATTGTTTAATGGTCGCCAATAAATACCTAACTTTCAAATTTTCTTTTAGAAAAAAACATTGTTACAATTTTAGTTGATTCTTTTAAGTCATTACTTTCTTAAGCTGATACACATATAGATCGGGAAGCATTTATTGAAAGTTTCATTAACTGGATTCCTTCAGACTAAAGTATGTACTATGAATTGAAAATTTTTAAAAATATATTCTAACATTTCGTTAAATGTGAACTCTATTGCGCTCATTCCCTCTCCGTTGACACACTCTGTTTAGCTAGTTACGGGGGCGTCCGGCTTTCCTAATTTTAGAGCACATTTATTCATTTATTGGTTCATTTCCAGCCAGAACCCGTGCTCTTGGTCTAGACATGTGCTGGCGGCTGTGAGTCGCGCAGAGCAGATCAGACTCCGCTACGCTAATTCCACCGACAATAGATGTGGGTCTCGATGACGTAGGAAGACTCTCATAGATCGTCCACGGCAAAAGTTAAAAAGTGTTTTTTGTCAAGCTTTCTCAGTGTTCTTCTAGCAGTTCCCCGGTTGGGAACTTGCTGAGCAGTTTTTTTTCCGGAATTTTCTCCTCGCGCGATAAAATATTTGCTAATCATTTTGATAGAAAAAGTTTTCAGGGAGCCATTGGGACTGTGTATAAAATAAATGGCAGCATGTCCGCCGTACAGTTTCTTCTTCTTGCGGCACTGATTTCATCTAGTGGTGCTAACGAAGATGTTTTGGTGGTAAAAATTGGTAAGTGTGTAGCAGATGTTTGACTGGCAATGGAAAATGTACTGGCTGCTTTTGTAGGAGCCATTTTCTTCGACACGGAAATGAAGTTGGCCGAAGCTTTCAGTCTGGCAGTTGAGGAAGTGAATGCATTGAATCCCGCGCTGAGATTGGAACCCATTAAGCACTATCTGACCATTGACGACAGCATTGTGCTGCAAGACCTCTGTGAGTCAGCCTTGTATCCGGTTGCTGCAGAAAAAGACGTTTAAATATCGATTCGTTAGGTTGTGATTTGATTGGTAACGGGGTGGCCGCTATTTTCGGACCAAGTTCAAAGACAAACAGCGGTAAGTTTAGTTTTCCTTTGTGTATCCTTATTAAATTATTTTTAAACCAAAATCATATGCTTCGGCGTCATAAAATATTGTCTGGATGCTATAAGTATACAAATCCATAAAAACAGAAAGAGAGGGAGAGGAGGCCGTCACATTCTGTCCGCTCGCCTCGAGAGAACATCTAAAGGCTCGTCAACCTCGTTAATGATTCTTCAAAATATCAAAACACATTCACACATGGCAGCCGTTGAATTGGGCTGCAGAGAAGCGGATCCAAATATTTTTGCAGTAAATAAACCAAAGGGTGGTTGGGGACCATTTGAACCTGTGCCAAGAGAAATATCCCCAAATTTGTTTTTGTTGTGCTCCTTGTGTTTTGATCGCCACTTTCGTTGTGTGATTTGGTTGTTATCCGGATCATTCTAAACAAAAACACACAAGTCCAAAGATACACATTTTTCCCTCTCTCGCTTACATATTACGTATCTCTCTCGTTTACCTGCAGATATCGTCGAAGTACTGTGTAACGTGACGGGAATACCGCACTTGCAGTTCGACTGGCACTCCCAACCGACGCCCAGGGAGCTTCTCAACCACCAACTCACTGTGAATGTGGCCCCAATGGAGCTGTTCCTCTCGGCGGCCTTTTCAGATATCTTGGGTAGTGAGAGTTTCTCCTGGAAATCTTTCACTATTGCCTACGAAAAAAGTGCCCGTATGTACTGATCTAAACATTACTCATCAAATTTAAAAGTTGAATTGCACCGTAAAAAATAAAATGAGAGGTTGTCCGAATTTTAGTTACGTCTTTAATACATGTGCATTTAAAATCAAAGATTAAATAATTTTTTTTTATTTTAAGTCTAACTTTGTAATTTTTCAAACATTTCTTAGCTTTCGTTTAAACATTTTTGATTTCCGATTTCCCAAAAAAATACGATATTCCTCAACAACAAAAATAATAATCAAGACTTTCAAGTTAAATAGGTCATTAAAGTACATAATCCTTTTAAGCATCAGTAATCTGATGCAGACTTATTCGAGCATCGCCAAGTTAACCCATTCTTCCCAAAGACCTTAGTCGATTGCAGCACATCCTAGCACTTAAACAGCTCCACAAAACGGGGATTAAAATGCAAGAGTTCGAGCGGGGAGGCGACTATCGAATTCTCTGGAAGCGCATAAACAATGCCCGTGAAAAGTTCGTCCTTCTTGATTGTCCCTCTGACATTTTGGTTGACGTTATCAACGCCTCAATTGAGTTTAATATGACTGGGTCATTCAATGTGAGTATTAAATACAATTACTTTTGCTGATTTTAATGCATAGTTTTTTATATTGCTTAATTATTTTAAAGTTTTAACGTAGGTATGTGTGGCGCAAAATAGACCCTAAATATATACCTAAATATAATGAGTACTAGCCAATCCTATATGCCAATGTGGAGAAAAAAACAAATTTAAATGAAATGAAATTAAATTAAAAAACTAAAATGGTTTAATCTAGATCTATATTAATATTTTAAACAGGAAAGGAAGCTAGCTTCTGCAGGCCGAAGCTTATACACCCTTGCAGTGATCGAATATGTTTAACTAAATACATAAAGGCTAAACAACATCGAAGCCATGATGAATTTCTATTAAATTAATATATTTTCGACGATTGTTTATATGATAGCTATATAATATAGTCGTCCCATTTTTATGAAATTTAATTCAAAATTCAAGAGTCGACATCTGGAAGAAATCAAGTCGATCTGATCAAAAATAATGGCGTGAGAATTCAATTCATTCTCTCCTATGGGAGCTATCCGATATAGTCGGCCGGTCCGGCCTGTTCCGACTTATATACTGTGTGCAATAACTACAGAACTTTTGGAAAAGTTTCGGTAAAATAGCTTTAAAACTGAGAGACTAGATTGCGTAGAAACAAACAGGAGAACAGACGGACCGACGGACAGACGTATTTCGATTCTGATCGTGATGCTGATCAAGAATATAAATACTTTATGGGGTCTGCACTGCATTGCAAACTTCTGACTGAAATTATACTGCCTTCTGCAAGGGTATAAAAACGCACCGAAACCTCTACCTTTATAGTGGTGTGAAGTAAAGGAATTTATGTTCAAAAGCAAGCGTAAGCTATATGATATAACTGATCTACTTGCGAAATTTTCAAACCTTATCTTACATGCTTGATATATAACACTGTGCGACAAAAAAATGTTTAAGTTGATTTTTTCTTAATTTTCACTTCTACTAGTCAAAATAAGAATATAAGTTTTTGGATTTGTTAATATCAATAGCCAATCAGCTTCTACGCACACTCAAATGTCCCAAAAACGCGTGTTTTTGCATATTTCACAGCCTTATAATCACATATTGGGAAAATATTTTTTCACCGTTATAAGCGTTTTATGCAAGTTCAATATCTATTAATTAAAATGTATTAAGCAAATATACCGTTAGGCTTTTACCACAATGCTTTAAAATTTTTTTCCCCCAGCTCTATACTCTGGGCGACTTTATATGGAACTTGTTACGCGAGGATACCTCTGAAAAAGCCAAAAAAAATCTGGAAAAAAATTCACTTTAAAAAAAAATAATAGTTTATTGGAAGTAAAAAAAAAATAATATTTTGTGTTAATTATTTTCATAATAATAATTTCATAAAATTTGTCATAAAAAAAGAAATCCTATCACTTAGAAGGTGGCATAGATATTTTTGTGCATAATTTATGCATCTTAACCGAAAACAATCAAAAAAGTAACTTGAACAAACATTTCGTTAAATTTTGTCGCACAGTGTAATTGTTAGCTTTTCTTGGTGGGATTTCCAATATTCCTAGGAAACTGTAAACTAACTTTTGCCTTCAACAGCACCTATTTTTAACGAACCTTGATACACATATAAGCGGAGTCGATCGTTTTTATTCGCCGGAGTTTACTGTGTCTGTGGCGGCTGTCAGAATACGAACCTATATTCCCCCTCCGATTCACGATGAGAAAGATGTATTTAGCGAAGATGCTGATAACATGGTAGGATAGAAAATGCAAATCCCATTAATTTATTTTAATGTTACTTATATTTTTTTTTAAGTTCTTGTCACTTGGAACTCAACTTCTTTACGACTCTGTTGTCCTATTCTACAATGCCCTTTCGGAAATTAGCCAGCGACCCGGATTCTATATGCCACAATTTAGTTGTGGGCGTGGATTTTGGCAGCCAGGACCGCACCTAGTAGAACAAATGAAACAGGTGAGTTTGCAAAAGTGCTTTAAATACTAGATACTATATGGTTATGTTCAGCAGATCTTTCTTGTTTTTATGTTGCGACAGTATACAATTAATAGGAAAGTTTAAAATAATCAGCTTTAAAATTATGTTTGTACATAAAAAAACCAAAACCTCAAACTATAACAGTCCATTAACGTTTCTAAAAAATTGGTCAAATAAATTCCGACAGTATATGGATAGGGAAATAATGAAATATTCTTGTTAAAAAAAAAACAATAGTAATAAAATTAATTAATTAATGACAAATCTAGCCTTGATACGCAATGGAAGAATTATAATGGTATTACTTTCGTTTATTATTTTGAATCTAGAAATAGTATTTAAATTAATTAATAGTCCAGATATAAAACAATGACTTCTCCGACTTTTAAATTTATCCCTGCAGAGGGTATTCTAATTTCTGTTAGAAGATACCTCATGCCCCAAAAAGTTTATAAATATTCTTGAGCCGATCTTTACGTCTGTCCGTTTGTCTGTTTCTATTTAAACTATTCTAACTGAGTGGACGTCGAGATCTTCAAAAAGTTGTTCCGCCCATTGAGATTGTTTTCCTGAGGAACTGCTAGTGTATGTTTTATATCAGTTTTTTGTTCTTTCGAATGCCAGCTATATGAAAAAGAAGTCCCATCGTATATATGCCACGATTACTACCTGGAAATGTCGTTTATTTTCTGTTTTTGCTCTTTTCTGATGGTATAAATATAAACTTCAGTTTTAATTCTTAAATCCTTTCAGAGGGTATAATTATATAAATATTTCAGAACTTTGCAACCTAAAAATGCACATGTATTCTTGATCAGTACCATTCTGTCTGTTTTTATGGAAACTAGTATTTCAGTTTTAAATCTATCTTTCTGAAACTACCAAAACCGAGCAGACTGGTATCATAAGGCGTATCGAAGAAATAAAGGATTATAAATTATACAGACATGATTTTTGGCGGATGGCGTTTTATTATGACTTTCGAATTTCGAATTTAATTCCTAGGAAAGATCAAAAAATTATTTTATACTGTCTTTGTTATATAAGCTGGAGTTTAAAATTATCATATGACTGCTATATCGACTTGATTTCTTCAAGATGGCGTTTTCTAAGTACTATTGAATTTCGGATTAAATTTGATCAAAATCGGATAACTCTATCATATAGCTGCCATAGGAGAGATCGAAAATTATATATAGAATTAATGGAAATAAATTGATAACATCGTTGTTTTTTATCCCACGAGCATGATTTTTTGAATATAAAGTTTTTTAACAACGTTTATATTGAGAAAAAGTTTCATAAAAATCGGTCATCTATATCTTAAAGCTGCCATAGGAAAGAGCAAAAAATCTATCTACAAATAACGGAAATAAAATTATAACAGCGTTGTTTTTCATCAGATAAGCATGATTTTTGGAGTATAAAGTTTTCCAACGACTATTTAATTGCGAATTAAATTTGATCGAAATCGGGCAACTATATCATATCGCAGCCATATGATCTATCGTCGAAAATATGGAAAATGAATAGAAAAATCGTCATAGCTTCGATGTAATTTAGCATTTATACATTTTGTTTGATATATTTTATGACTGCAAGGGTTTATAAGCTTCGGCTTGCCGAAGCTAGCTTCTTTTCTTGTTTATCTGTCATTTGAATAAGAAAACTGGACTAAGCTATTAAAGAGAAGATCAAAGTTATAATAGAAAAAAAATCTTGTAATGAGTCTAGTCGTTTTACACACATTTTTCCAACTGCAAGGGTATGTAATCTTCTGCTCGTCGAAACCAAAACCTTTCTTGCTTCAACAACATTTACTAAAAATGTTAATAATATTAAAGGGGGACTTCTAGCATAGTATAGTGTTTCATTGCGATTGCATTAAATTATACCAAAGCTCTTAAGCATCAACTAAAAATATATTTGGGATTTCAAATAATGTAAAATTATAGGTTTGGGTATAAAAACGTCAATTAGGAAGGTCGATTTGGTACTCAGATCAAAATGAAAGTCTTTTGTGCTTTTGAGACTAAATAAACGCATTTTTAAGATTTTCTAAGGACAAATTTGGTAACCCAACGTTATTAAGATTTCCCCAAAGCATGTCAAGCCTCCCTTCAAAACCCAAAGGCTACAGATTAATAACGATGGCCAGCGGCAAGATTTTAATCTCGAAGTTTACAACCCCATCATTGATCGCGTAACCCATATATGGAATAAAGAGTTTCGGCTCGTGGACTATGAAAAAATACGGGAGAACTCAACTCAGGCCGTGAAACAGAGAAGACTTCAAACCAAAGAGGATTTCTCTCAAAAGCACATCCAGTATACTGTTTCCACTAGGGAGGGCGCACCGTACTTCAGCTGGCGGTCAGTAAACAATAACATTTTGATAAACGAACCTGAAGTGATGATTTTTCTTGTAGAAAGCCACCCGAAGGCGGTCACTACGAGGGAAATCAACGATTTGAGGGCTATGCGGTGGACTTGCTTTACGAGCTGGCAGAACAGTGCAAATTCGATTTCTCCTTTGAACAGGTAAAGGATAACAAATATGGAAGTTATGATCCTGCAACAGATGAGTGGGATGGCATTATTCGACAATTGATTGATAACGTGAGTACTAACAAAAAAATTATACCCCATATGAGTAAAAATGGAAAATCTTGGAGATCTCTTAAAGATGAATAAATAAATACCTTACCCCCTTTTTGATCCGTGCAGAGCCTATTTTAATTTCAGAAATAAGTTTACAACTTTTGTTAAGAAGACCTCAGACCCCGTTAAGTATATAAAATCTGAATCACCATCTTAATCGATTTAGACATGCCCGTATGTCCGTCTTTCCACTTCTCTGTTTATATGTAAACTAGTCTCTTAGTTTTAAAGCTATCCGGCTGAAACGTTTTCCAAAGTTGTGTACATTTTGCAAGCAGTGTATAAGTTGGAGAGCAAAAGAAATGATTACGCCGTTGTTTTTGGGCATTATTTTTTCCAGATGGAATATTTCCAAAAATTGAATGACTGTATATATGGCAGCCATAGGGAAGATTGAAAAATCGATATAAAAACAAAAACTAGAACGTCGATTTTTTTCACATAAGCAGTATTTTCGGAATATAAAACATTTTACAATTCAGCTAGCTTTAGCAAGCCGAAGCTTAAAATACATAAAGCTTTTATGATAAAGGCTAAACAAAACTGAAGCTATGATGATTTTTCATTATTCCTCTATATTCTTGATAATATAGTTGTTAGATTTTTATGACTTGATGGGGTTTTCTAACTGCTTTTGAATTTTGGATTAAATTTTATCAAAATGGGATAGCTGCCATATGAATATTAGTCAAAAATACGGAAAATTAATGGAACAAGAAAGGAAGCTAGCTTCGGCAAGCCGAAGCTTATATACCCTTGCAGTCATTAAATATAATATGTCGAAGCTATGACGATTCTTCTATTCATTTTCCATATTGTTCATATGACAGCTATATAATATAGTCGTCCGATTTTGATGAAATTTAATTTTAAACTCAGGACTCATTAGAAAACTCTATATTCCAAAAATCATAATTGTCTGATGAAAAACCACGATGCTATAATTTTATTTCCGTTATTTCTATATAGTTTTTTCGATCTTTCCTATGGCAGCTATATGATATAGTTGTCCGATTTTTATGAAACTTTTTTCTCAATTAAAAAAATGTTAAAAAACTTGATATTCAAAAAATCATGCTCGTGGGATAAAAAACAACGATGTTATCAATTTATTTCCATTAAATCTATATAAATTTTCGATCGCTCCTATGGCAGCTATATGATAGAGTTATCCGATTTTGATAAAATTTAATCCGAAATTCAATAGTAGTTAGAAAACGATATCTTGAAGAAATCAAGTCGATCTGATCAAAAACAGCGGTGTGAGAATTTTTTATTTTATTCTCTCGTATGGGAGCTATCCGATATAGTCGGCCGATCCGGCCCGTTCCGACTTATATACTGCGTGCAATGCACACCTTTTGGGAAAGTTTCATCAAGATAGCTTTAAAACTGAGAGACTAGTTTGCGCGGAAACGGACAGACGAACAGACGGACAGACGTACAGACGTATTCCCATTCTACTCGTGATGCTGATCAAGAATATATATACTTTATGGGGTCTGAGGTGTCTCCTTCACTGCGTTGCAAACTTCTGACTGAAATTATAATACCCTTTTGCTCTGCAAGGGTATAAAAATCGTCGTAGCTTCGATGTTGTTTGGCATTTATGTATTTTTTTTTATGTCTGCAAAGGTATACAAGCTTCGGCTTGCCGAAGCTAGCTTTTTTTCTTGTTTGATCTCTCCTATGGCAGCTATATGATTTTTTTGATAAAATTTAATCCGAAATTCAATAGTACTAAGAAAGCGCCATCTTGACGAAATCAAGTCGATCTGATCAAAAACAAGGCCTTGAGAATTTTGTATTTCATTCTCTCGTATGGGAGCTATCCGATATAGTCGGCCGATCCGGCTCGTTCCGACTTATATACTGCGTGCAATAACTACACACCTTTTGGAAAGTTTCAGCAAAATAGCTTTAAAACTGAGAGACTAGTTTGAAGAGAAAGGGACAGACTTTTACTGAAATTATAATACCCTTTGCTCAGCAAGGGTATAAAAACGCACCATGACCTCTACCTCTAAGGTGGTGTGAAGTTGAGGAAATTATGTGTAAATAAGAATCAAACACAAAGCCGAGCTCAAGCTCTTTATGATAGAGCCGATCTATTAGCGAAAGACAAACTTAATATTCGCAGGTGAAGCTGCGGGATTCTTCTTGTTTATATATATTTTTTTCGATCTTTTTGTGCCACACCCACTGTGGTTCCCCAATTTGTAATGTTACAACGATGTTGATAATAAATTTGGATTTTACTCTTGAATTCGCAGCAATCGTCGCTTTTACGCCCATCAGCTTTGGGGGCGGGTCCTCCTTTATGATTTGACCAGCATTGAGAAGAAAGACGCGTTATAGGAACTGCGGGTTGTGTTAATTGTAAACTCTACTTACTAATCCGAATGCCTTTATACATATATATTTATAAATGCTTTCTTAGTTTTTAGTAGCATTTTCTATTTAGCACACTGGCCTTTTTTTTTACTTTATGTTATAAAAACAATTCAGTCCCTTGTGCTTAACTTGATAACATAATTATTCCTAATGATAACTGGCTTTCACTTACAACAATTTTTTTTTTTCATTTTGTATAGCTTTTTTCCAACTTGTATAGCAAATTTTTATCAAGTTTTTTCATTTTTTTTCAACATTCAACAGAAAGTTTCTTATTGTACTTTTCATCTGAACAGTGTGTTTTCTGCTACCTGCATACGGCCTGTAAATTTGGTGGAGTTTGTGTTTCGGCTCGCGGAGTTCTGATTTCAATTCCTCTATTATAGATTCGGGATACATTTTAAATTCGAATTTCAGTTTTTGGCTTGTAGATTGGAGTTTTTGGTCTTTGGAGTGCAGTGCTCTGTTCTTGGCTTCCAGTTCGTAAACCTTCTTCCATCGCATTTCTCGCTCGAGCTCAAATTGTTTCCCCCTAAAATGGACGGATGGAGCATGGTACAATGAAGTCACTATGTTTCGCGGATCCAAACGAACTTCTCTCGCTCTGCCTCGAAGTTGAAGGCCAACTCTTTGAACAGATTTTTGTCCATCCGCAGGAACATACATAGTACTTGAAGGGCAAGGTCCATAATGTCCTCCACCCACTTATTGTGGCTGATGACATGGAGAGCTGGAAACACGATAGGCATGATGGTCTCATAGTTGGCCTCTACCAGACTTAGGACCACCGGATTGACCCACAGATAAAGAGCCTGTTCAGCAACCTATAGTTTTGTTTCATTTGAGGGTTTGGATTACTGAATGTTACAAAATTAAAGTCCTATTTGTATGAACAAATATTAAATACAGAAGCTAGCGACATCTTATTTAGAAAGGAGGCCAATTCAGTCTCACCCGAGAACTTGTACTCGACATGCACTTGGCAATCTGACGAAACAGAGGCTCCTGGATTACATCAAATTGTAGCCAATCGGCCATTTCCAGAATCCCTTCCAATTCTTCTATAAACAAGACCTCCTTTTTGGTAGACATCTTTGGCCAGAACCTCAAAAGGCCGACTATCAGCGGTCCGGCCAGGAGGTTGTTCTTTTCGAGGTATTGGGTAATGCATTTCACCAGTTCAGTGTGGTAGAACTCGAGGTTGTCAAGTTTGTGCATCGGCAAGAGGATATCGACCAGAAACTGCTCTTGTTCCGCCCTTAAAGGCACTTCATATCCACCAATTATTCTAGTAGAAAAATCCACAGGTCAAATAATAAAGAAACATACTACACTGGCTAAGCATACTCGGCAAAGACCTCCAAGAGCTCTGGGATCCCATCGACTTGCTCCGTTTCGTGAATGCAGCGAAAGAATACGTTGTTAATCTCACTTTGAATATACGCCCGCAGTCCGCTACACATTTGGTAGGCGCAACACAAAATCGCCTTCAGATATTCCCGTTCTTCATCTAGTTCAGTGTCTTACTGAGCCAAAATCTAGTTGCACCCAAATCCACCTTAGTAAACATGGAGTTCATTAAAGAATCACAGCTTGCACTAACCTTCGGAACAACATTTTGCTCGATCAAACCTCTTTCCTTGTTACTTTCGATCTCCGGACCTCGGAGGTACTCCAAGTAGTTCTCATAGAACGTCTGACGTTGCTCAAGGTGTTCAAAATCGCTGGTAGAAATACAGATTTTCGGTTCGGGGATATCGGAAGTCTTTTCGGAATAGTCCATTGATAAGGTTTTAAATGTATACTTTACTTTCGGTTGTTATATAGGTGTTCGTTGGGTGACGATAAGTGGATAGAGTAAAAAATGAAAAATATATGGACTGATGTGAAAAGAACCGGTAATGTGATACCATTCATTTGCAGTGCTTTTAGTTTCCTTCCTCCATTTTCTCTGTAAAGTTTGTACAGCCTCTTTCAGAATATTCACACAAGTATAAACTTTAGGTTATGGCCCTTCCTATCTTGATCGATGCACCTAATATGTTTGCTGGGTTTTTGGACAAGCAAATGCCTTAAGGAACTTTGTTGATTTTTTTATAGTTTTTTATACCCTTGCAGAGCAAAAGGGTATTATAATTTCAGTCAGAAGTTTGCAACGCATATATTCTTGATCAGCATCACCATCTGAATCGAAATATGTATGTACGTCTGTCCGTCTGTCTGTTTCTATGTAAACTAGTCTCTCCGTTTTAAAGCTATCTTGCTGAAACTTTCTCAAAAGTTGTGTAGCTATTGCACGCAGTATATAAGTCGGATCGGGCCGGATCGGCCGACTATATCGGATAGCTCCCATATGAGAGAATGAAATAAGAAATTCTCACGCCGTTGTTTAGTTGTAGTATTCGTAGTATTATGCAGAATACATTTGTCGGACTGACAGTCTCGAGTATTTGGGCAACAGAAACTATTTTTGCAAAGTTATAAACAGAATTTATTTTGTTTCATTTTTAGAATGCGCAAATCGGAATATGTGATTTGACCATCACCCAAGCGCGTCGGTCGGTGGTGGACTTCACTGTACCATTCATGCAACTGGGAATAAGCATTCTGTCATACAAGGAGGTACCACCGAGTCCGAATATATACGCCTTTCTTAATCCGTACGGAGTCGAAGTTTGGCTCTACGTAATGATCGCCATGATGATCACGGCCCTCGCCCTGGTTTTAACCGGTCGCATGGATCAATACGAGTGGGAGCAGCCGGTGGAGAACGAGGACCACGATCTCGAGCAGGAGAACACCTGGCACTTGCACAACTCAATGTGGCTGGTGTTGGGCTCGATCCTCAACCAAGGATGCGATCTTTTGCCCAGGTAAGTGGAGCTAAGAATGCTCGGCATAAGTTGGTTAGTTGTCAAATCTTGACCTCCATCCTTCGTTTAGGGGTTGGCCAATGCGTTTGCTTACAGCCTCCTGGTGGATCTTCGCGCTGCTCATCTCCCAGACGTACATAGCCAAGCTGGCTTCTTTTATCACCAGTTCAAAGATGGAAAACAGCATCAACTCCCTGCACGACCTCGTTGACCAGAACAAGGTGCAGTTTGGCACCGTCCGCGGAGGCGCCACCTCAGTGTACTTCTCGGAGTCGAACGACACGGAAAACCGGATGGCGTGGAACAAGATGCTGTCTTTCAAGCCAGATGCCTTCACCAAGAGCAACGAGGAGGGAGTGGAGCGGGTCAAACATAGCAAGGGCAGGTACGCCTTTCTGATGGAGACCACCAATTTGCAGTACTACGTGGAGCGGAACAAAGACCTCACCCAGATCGGGGAGAGTTTTGGAGAGAAGCACTACGGCATAGCGGTTCCCCTAAGTAAGTGGTCTGAACATTTTTCAATTTCATTTTATTTTAAGTGTATATTATATATTTTCTGAATCTGTCGTGGATTAAAACTGAAGAACTAGAGTAGTAGCGTATAGTACGCTTAATCGCTTACGTTGTAAAGACATAATTATCTATAAGAAACAACAGGAAAAAATCTTGTTACTTCAGATTTGTGATGACTGCAAGATTATAAAGGCTTCAACTCGTCGAAAAAAGTTCCTTTCTTGTTTTTTGTGATATTTGGGAGTCATATTAGATAGTCGGTGGTCGGTGGTCCAGCAGGTAGAGCGCTGGACTCCGGTCCGGAAGGCCCGGGTTCGAACCCCAGGCTCCCCGAGAAAAAGAAACTGTCTCTTTTTCCAAATCTCCATCTATGCTCTATCGCTCACTTAGCAATAGTAACAAATTTCGGCTCCCCGGACCCGCACACCCCCCTCGTCCACGTTACTATGGACACAACAATAGAACTTTCGTCACTCCTAGATGGCGCCAGGTGGAAACCCCACCGCTAGGATAGGTCGCTACTGGCTTATCACCAGTTCGATCGAAAATCAATGATAAATGAATCCTCTACAAAAATTGTAGGGGCTCTATGCTCCCGGGTGGAGTTAAAGAATGTAATTAGATAGTTTTGGCAAAATGAATAACAATTCCTTTGTCGCACCGGTATTTACTTGCAGATGCTGAATTCCGTTCGAATCTCAGCGTGGGAATTCTCAAGCTCAGCGAGAAGGGCGTTCTCTACAGGTTGCGCAAAAAATGGTTTACCTGCAACAATACTGCGTCCGGCTCGGATCAAACTGACACCCAAAGTGACCAGTTCACCATGGACTCTGTGAAGGGACTTTTCGTGGTGCTCATCTTGGGCGTGGTTTTTGCTTTTTTTATTGGCGTTGCAGAGTTCATGTGGCACGTTCAGCGCATATCGGTAAAGGAGAAGGTACACGTTCAACGGATTTTCTTATTTCCGAGCTATTTATTTATGATCAATTTTTATTTTAGATTCCGCCTATGCTAGCTCTGAAGGCAGAGTTTATCTTTTTCGTTCGATTCTGGTTGACCAAGAAGCCCATTCACTCCTATCGGCAGAGCCGTGATTCGACTTCCACAGGCTACTCGTCGCTGGGGCCGAATTCGAGTGCATCGACAGCGAAAAAGAAGAAAAAGTCCCAAAGAGCTGAGGACTATAGCCATTGAACGTTCATATAAATATATATATATTTTGTAGAATAAGTATATTTTACTGCCTATTTTAGTTAATACATTTTTATGGTGCACCCAAAAAGTTTAAAAATATCCATGTCATCGGAATTGATTATTACATAATCTAGACTTTTGAAATATTTAAAACCCAGACCGACTTCCATAATTGTCTTCTTCAACATCTGCTCGATAAAGAATACAAAAAAATGAAAATTAAAACCGCATAAAGATAGAAAAATTTAAAGTAATCATTTTTCCCTGTGGTTTAAAAACTTAAAAACTAAAAAAACAAGAAAGGTAGCTTGCTTTGGCGAGCCGAAGTTAAAACTTAAATGTAGACAACTACTCATCATATAGTACAACCCTAGTTTTTTCTAGTTTTCTGTTATCTTCTGATAAGTGTATGTATGATTGCCTAAAAACAAGACTTTTGGTTAAGTTCAAGCAAGACAGCTTTATCGGATCGTATGGTAATGCTGATCGCAAATATATATACTTTACGGGGACAAGTGTATTTCCTACACGACGTTGGAAACTACTGATCAAAAGTTATGTTTGAACTAGAAGAAGGTTCTTGCACAATTAAAGAACAATTGTCTACTAACAAAGGACAGACTTGGCAGATATCCAATCTGCCAATCCAAACTCATACACTAAGAGGTCGGTGAGGATAAATAATCCTGATAGAATTGATAGTAGAGTTAGCCCCTTAGGGGCCTTAAAAAATTGCCTCAGTGAGGAGGATCGTGGATCCTCCTCCTGGGCGAGCTATTGGTTTTAGTTTTCAACTAGCAATAAACGCAGCTCAGTTGGGACTTCATAGCTTGCGATATTGCCACTGCACAAGGTTGGTGATGCAAACAGTGAAGTTGTTGAGTCCCTCTAGCGAGAAAGCGCATTAACAGATTGGGAATTATTGGAGCTGCAAGCCCTTATATAATGGTAGGGTTCAAAGACGCAGCACATCCAAAACCAGTTGGCAATAGTTCACCCCTTTAATTGAATGAGCAACTTCAATGGCTCGCTCCAGGTCCTAGTGAATATTGGGGAACTTGACAGTGGCTGGAACTGGTTTCCCAGCTATTGCATTTTTATGACCTTCGAAAGCTTTCCTCCATCTCGAGCCATTCGATGACAAGCTCTGCCCGCATTGGGTCCGCAACTCAGTGAACCCCCAGGGACCAACATAAAATCGAATAGAATGGAAATGGCAGCTGCAGTGAAGAACGGGCCAAGTGTTTGGCTGCGTCCGGGTCAGATACTTGGATTATGCGAGTTAAGCCGCTTGCCCGCAAACCGCCCAATTTGTAAGCAGCTTTAAGTCAGACATCTACCGATTCCTCCTTAAAGTTAAAAGCCACTCAGCACATCACGTTCCACCTCAGCCAGTCCGCCGTATCCTACTCCTGGTTCCAGGCGTTTCGTGACCCAGAAGACGGGGTTAAACTGAATGGCCGCGATTAACAAACGACTCCGTCGGCCCGCGAAATGACCGGGCATCGCGCTTTGTAATTTAAATGCCTCTTTTATGGTGGCGCCATAAAATGTACAAATAAGGGTTAATTATGTCCCGTAGCTGATGGCCAGCATGAAAGCATAAGATGCCCAAATTTGTGGGTGGCAATTGGGTCAGGGAATGTTAATGAGTGTGAATAAAAACTTTTCAGTTAAAGAGATCTCGTTAAGAAAGAATGGATATAAGTTCGCAGGCAGGCGATTATAATTATTAGTGAATTTTGACGGGCAATAAAAAATATAAATAACATTGTTGGGAAGATTTATCATTTTTCAAGCCCTAGTCAATTATTCATCGTAATTAAATTATGAACTATCAAATTCGGGAATGAAGAGTTTTTTAACTAGCCTTGAACTATAAAAAAAATTTCACAAAAATCGGGCAACTTTATATTATGGCTGTCATAGGAAAGATCAATAATCTATATAGAATTAACGGAAAATAATTGATAATATCGTTGTTTTTAATCAGAAAAAAATTATTTTTGGAATATAAAGTTTTTTAACGATTCTCGAATTTCCAATTAAATTTCTTTAATCTTCGACATACATAGAAAATGAATAAAATACTCGTTATAGCTTCGGTATTGTTTAGCCATTATGTATTTTGTTCGACATATGTGATGACTGCAAGGGAATATAAGCTAGCTTCCTTTCTTGTTTAAAGATCTAATTCTAATAATTCTTAAATTTTGAAATGCTAATAATAAAAAATGATTACGTGATTTCAGTGGCAGTATTTTCTGAAATGTTTTGTGAAAAGTTTGAAAACTAAAAATCCATAATTTGTTTTGTGAGATATTTGAATACCAAATCAGTTTTGAATTTGTTTTTGGTCGGTAATGGCAGCTCGAAATTTAAAGACGGCTGGAAACTTTACAGTTGGTAAATGTCATTATTGGAAATAAATTCAGAAAAGATATTTTTGCAACCCACTTGGTTGAATGACCCTTAAAGAGATTGGTCTTCATTATAGCGGATTTAGGTATAACATGAACTGGCAACAAATCATTTAACACAACTTTCTCAGCCTCTGTCAAAAGTGACAGGCTCACAAGCTTATTAACCCTTGTCAGCAACGCCCCGCAACAATTCACTAAACGGATGTTGGCTATGTATACACGGAATACAACAAGGCAAACAAAAGCTTCTTTTACCAAAAAAAAAAAGGTGCCATAAAAAGCAGACTCACTCGATTGCCTCATCGACGAACCGGAAACAATTGACTCGATTACCCGGCAAACAAAAACAACTTGCCAACATAAACATGACAGACCAATAAAACCAACAAAAAAGGGCAGCAAAACAGAAAAACCACACAAAAACATTGTGAAAAGTGTAAAGAGTGCGTGTGAATGGATGTCGAATGGTCGGGGACTCGGGTTAAATGTGGGTCGACTTTTGTTTAGTTTCCGGAGTCCCACACTAGATTTCTTCCCATAGCTCTAAGGACTTTTTTGACAGGTTTTCAGCTTGTTTTGATTTGAATAAATGCGTTTGATTCCTCTTCCTTTATTTGATTTCATTGGGAAAACTGTTCACGCTGCTGCGAATGTCTAAACCGCACCGCCCAATTTGTGTTATTGTTATTTATGCCACAACTCTCTCTTTTTTCGAGGTCGAAAAAACATTCTAAAAAAACTGCAAATTGTTTTATTACCTGTTTTTTTTATTGCGAATAAAATATTAATTGGTATTTATGAGCTGGCATGCAATTTGCAGATGTCGATTTAAGTTCTTGCTGTGAATATCAAGAGCCTAGCCGTCGAATAAATCGGTATTGTTTTCATATTTAAAGCAGAAAGAGAAGCCTTTTTCAGCAAGTAGAAGCTTACATGTACACTCTTGGGCCAAAAAGTGTCAAAAATACTATAAAAAATATGTTTTTAACGCTTTAAATGTCCTGCAAGTTTAATTGCAAATCCGAAGAGCTAGTTTCTTTATTTTAATTTACTTTCAGCTAATAAATCTAACTAAAATTGCATTATTGTGTACACATTTCAAATACCTGGCAAGTTGCACTTGTTAACAAGAAAGGAAGCTAGCTTCGGCGGGCCGAAGCTTATATACCCTTGCAGTCATCATATGTAGGGGAATGTCGTCAGTGTTGGACACATTTTCAACCCTTGCCCATAATTATCGTTTTAATAAGAATTAAGATCATTTGCGGAAATACTACCTTGATCAAAAAGTTCCCGACTTTTCCACCGTGTGGCGCTCCCAGTCAAACGATTTCAATACATTTTTTTTCCCAGATTGGTATAACTGTTCTTTATATTCCCACCAATTTTCAGCGTCATCGATTGACAGTTGTCAAAGTTACGCTGTGTTGTTAACATTAACCTTTGAGCCATCTTCGATTTTTCCATGATCTCATATCGGCTGCTGTAACGCGTTCCGCAGAGCGGTTTTTTAAGTCGACTGAACAGGTAAGAGTCGCAGGGACCCAAATCCGGTGAATTCGGTGGTTGTTGGGTCGGATTCAGCATTGGAAATCATGTCTTTGGCGACCTCAACGCGATCCATTTTTTGTATGAAACTCAGTTCTTTTGGCACCAACTTTGCAGCGACGCGTCTAAAACCGAAATCATTAGCCAAAATATCTTGAACGGTTCCAAAAGCAATGTCCAACTCCTCTGCCATCTCTCTAATAGTCAATTTGCGGCTTATGGCCATCCAGTCTTTGATTTTGCCGATGTTTTCGTCCGTTTTCGAAGTGGCCAGAACGGTCATCATCGTTGATGGAATTTCGGCCACTTTTGAACCGTCCATGGCACTCGTGAACTGTTGTTAGTTTCAAAGCATTGTCACCGAAACACTTCTCAAACATTTCCAAAGAGGTCGGAACACTAATTTCATTTTTAACACAAAATTTAATGCAAATTCGTTGCTCTTGTTTTCTACCCATTTTTTAAAATCAAAAAAATCGAAGATGGCTCAAAGGTTAATGTTAACAACACAGCGTAACTTTGACAACTGTCAATCGATGACGCTGAAAATTGGTGGGAATATAAAGAACAGTTATACCAATCTGGGAAAAAAATTTATTGAAATCGTTTGACTGGGAGCGCCACACGGTGGAAAAGTCGGGAACTTTTTGATCAAGGTAGTAGTTTGAAAGGTAAAGGCAATAGGTATGTCTGACAATGAACATTATGTTGTGAAATGAAAAACATAGAAATGGCGAGTATTTAAAAAAAAAAAAATGTAGTCAGGCTTGGACACTGTAGCCATGGTTGGACACTTGAATTGCTACTTCAGAAAAGTAGCAATAAAAGAGGACATTATCCATGGATCAGGTGTATTTTATGTCTTTCTTTTTCATTATGAACAACAAATTTTACAACCAAGTATGAAAAAAAAATTAATCAGATTCGCAATTAGGACAAACAGGACAGCATTATGCAAGTCGACTTTACCTCTTTCCGTCGTTCGCTTGTAGCGTGAACCTCTTCAAAGGGAGAAAATAAATTATTACTCAAAGGATTTATTTATTTTTACTTATTTACTAATTAATTCACTTTTTGTTGAATCAAGTAATTAATTACCAAATTTATTTATTCATCCAACTCATACTTTATTTTTAGAACTTTAATCTATTTCTTTAATTAATATGTAGGTATATTTGTTCACAATATAGAAAAAAAATTATTTCATTGAATGTATTTACATGTTTTGTAGTGAATAACTGTAAAAAACATTGAAAAAATTAAAATATTCAGACAAAAGGAAAAAAACAAGGGTGTCCAACCTTGACAACAAAAAGTGTCCAACCCTGACAACATGAGTCATAACTCTACCGCACAACATAACTACCAAATCGCTTTATTTAGAACAAATTTTTTTTAGGATTTCGTTAAGGGGGAACCACTTAACGTATTTTTAAACTTACTCTGCGGATGGCATATTTTCCGCTGAATTATGCCACTTTTTTAGCGCGTTCTCGAATACTTTTTTCTTCACTATCACGACACTATGTCAACAAAACAGGAAAATTAACACTTAAGGGATGCGGCTAGGGATGAAAAGTTTCCCACAGTGATAACAATTAATACCACATTCGCACACAGATGGCCATAGTTGGTTTATTAGAAAAATTGCAAGTGTCCGACCCTGACAACTGTCCAACCTTGACGACATTCCCCTATATATAGGGGCCGTCCATAAACCTCGTGACGCTCCTAGGGGGGTGGGGGGTTCATTAGAGAGTCACGCTTTGTTGTAAGGAGGTTGTAATTTGTATATGTGATGCGTCACATAGGGGGGGGGAGGGGGTCAAAAAAGCCAAAAATTAGCGTCACGAGGTTTATGGACGGCCCCATAAGATTATAGTTG